CATGTGGGCATGCAATTGTCACACAACCTTTGGTGAAAGCCCATTGAAGGGCATGCTTCGAGACAGCTCTCCGTCTTCTGACCATGGTCTTACGCGCATGGCCAGCGTGGCGTGCTGGCAAGATCAACCTGTTCTGCTTCTGCAACCCTAAGTGGATGAGTAACCGTCTTACACATCTTTTGCCTATTCCGGCCAAATGCGCGACGGGCGCTGTGAGCCGCTGGCCCCATATCCACGGAGTGGCAAGGTACATGGGACTTCAGCACCCACAACCACACTTGAAAAACAATCAACAAGACATCAGCGAGCATCAATGAAAAATGCGTGATATCAGTGTTTACCTTCAGGTGACCCGATGAATCCAAAGAAGGGTGAGGGAAGCGCGGCCGCGACTTCGCACGGGCAAGAACCCCACCACTATCAAATGGAAATTGGCCAAAACAGATGGACCCTTGTGTGTCATTGTCATGACTAACAACTTTGGATGCGTCCTTCCATGCCTCGGAAGGCTCATATGCAAAATCTCCCTTCACAGGAATCTTGTCAGATTGCTGCATTTTCTGGCGCTCAATTGCGCCGGTCATTTTGAAATCATCGATGAGTGGGCTCCCAGAGACATCATCTACATTCACTTTTCGCATTCGCATCTGCGGGCAAATGAAAAACTCATGGCAGTCATGCGGTTCACGGACCACAAAATCATCAGTAGCTACATGCACAGGTGGAGTGGCAATTGCAAAGTTGGGAAACCAACTGCATAATACCAACAACCATGTCATGACATGTCTAAATGGATTCCCTCGGATCTGCGGCCTTCTGTTCGCTCTGTCAGCAACTGTCCTGGCACCTACCACGGGAGCAGAAACATTGGTGACAGCCCGCCACGATCGCGGGGAGGTAGAAGGCTGCTTGTGGCCTTTGGGCCGCATGAGTTTACACTTGTCTTCCGCACTTGTCTCCCACTCTGGGTGCCTTGGGCCGCATGAGTTTACACTTGTCTCCCACTTGTCCCTCACACTTGTCTCCCACTCTGGGTGCCTTGGACCGCATGAGTTTACACTTGTCTCCCACTTGTCTCCCGCACTTGTCTCCCACTCTGGGTGCCTTGGGCCGCATGAGTTTACACTTGTCTCCCACACTTGTCTCCCACTCTGGTTGCCTTGGACCGCATGAGTTTACACTTCTCCCACACTTGTCTCCTACACTTATCTCCCACACTTGTCTCCCACTCTGGGTGCCTTGGGCCGCATGAGTTTACACTTGTCTGTCACTTCTCTCCCACACTTGTCACCCACTCTGGGTGCCTTGGGCCGCATGAGTTTACACTTGTCTCCCACTTGTCTCCCACACTTGTCTCCCACTCTGGGTGCCTTGGGCCACATGAGTTTACACTTGTCTCCTACACTTGTCTTCCACGCTTGTCTCCCACTCTGGGTGTCTTGGGCCGCATGATTTTACATTTGTCTCCCACTTGTCCCTCACACTTGGGTGCCTTGGGCCGCATGAGTTTACACTTGTCTTCCACTTGTCTCCCACACTTGTCTTTCACTCTGGGTGTCTTGGGCCGCATGACTTAACAGTTGTCTCCCACTTGTCTCCCACACTTGTCTCCCACACTTGTTTCCCACACTTGTTTCCCACACTTGTCTCCCACTCTGGGTGCCTTGGGCCGCATGAGTTTGCACTTATCTCCCACTTGTCTTCCACTTGTCTCCCACACTTGTCTTTTACTCTGGGTGTCTTGGGCCGCATGATTTAACAGTTGTCTCCCACTTGTCTCCCACTTGTCTCCCACACTTGTCTCCCACACTTGTTTCCCACACTTGTCTCCCACACTTGTCTCGCACTCTGGGTGCCTTGGGCCGCATGAGTTTACACTTGTCTTCCTGTTGTCTCCCACACTTGTCTCCCACTCAAGGTGCCTTGGGCCGCATGAGTTTTCACTTGTCACCCACTTGTCTTCCGCACTTGTCTCCCACTCTGGGTGCCTTGGGCCGTATGATTTTACACTTGTCTCCCACTTGTCCCTCACACTTGGGTGCGTTGGGCCGCATGAGTTTACACTTGTCTTCCACTTGTCTCCCACACTTGTCTCCCACTCTGGGTGCCTTGGGCCGCATGAGTTTACACTTGTCTCCCACTTGTCCCTCACACTTGTCTCCCCACGTCTGGGTGTCCTTGGGCCCATGATTTTGACAAAACACTTCTCTCTACACTTGTCTTCCCGTTGTCTTGCCAAACACGGGCTAGTGTCTGGGCCGGGCGGTGGAATGTGGACACTGTCGCCCAACTATTTGTCTCTCCACACTTGTTGTCTCCCACACTTGTCTCCCACTCTGGGTGCCTTGGGCCGCATGAGTTTACACTTGTCTCCCACTTGTCTCCCACACTTGTCTCCCACTCTGGGTGCCTTGGGCCGCATGAGTTTACACTTGTCTCCTACACTTGTCTTCCACACTTGTCCTCCGTCTACCCACATCTGGATTTTGCCTGGTCCCGTCATGAGTTTACACTTGTCTTCCGCACTTGTCTCCCACTCTGGGTGCCTTGGGCCGCATCATTTTACACTTGTCTCCCGCTTGTCCCTCACACTCTGGTTTCCTTGGGCTGCATGAGTTTACACTTGTCTTCCACTTGTCTCCCACACTTGTCTTTCACTCGGGGTGTCTTGGGCCGCATGATTTTACACTTGTCTCCCACACTTGTCTCCCACACTTGTCTCCCACACTGGGCCTTGGGCCGCATGAGTTTGCACTTGTCTCCCAATTGATTCCCACTTGTCTCCCACACTTGTCTCCCACTCTGGTTGCCTTGGGCCGCATGAGTTTACACTTGTCTCCCACTTATCTCCCACACTTGTCTCCCACTCTGGGTGCCTTGGGCCGCATGAAGTGTGTAAAAAACAGGTCGTGTCCCACTTGTCCCCTCACACTTGTTCTCCCAACTCTGGGTGCCGGATTGGGCCGCATGAATCATTTATCACTTGTCATCCCAACGTCGTCTTCGCACTTGTCTCCCAAAACTCCCCTTTTGAGTGGCCTTGTAGGCCGTTGTTTACGGTCTTGTCCTCCCACTTGTCCTCCCACATAAAAACTAGGGTGCCAATCCTTGGGCCGCTAGGCGAGCAGTTTTACACTTGTCTCCTCACTTTCTATCACACAACTGTGGTCATACCACTCGGGTGTCCTTGGGCGTCAATGAGTTGTACACTGTACTTCCCACTTAGTCTCCCCACACCACGTTGGTTTCTCCCTCGGCCAACACTTGTCATCCACACATCTGGGTGCCTTGGGTTATTATAGAGGGGGATTAAAAGTCGTAGAAGAATAGCTCTGCAATGTTTATATGCTGGCAGGTCTAGCGCTGTTTACCGCGTTCCTGGTTGCCGCATGAGTTTACACTTGTCTCCCACTTGTCTCCCACACTTGTCACCCACATTTGTCTCCCACTCTGGGTGTCTTGGGCCGCATGAGTTTACACTTGTCTCCCACTTGTCTTTCACACTTGGGTGCCTTGGGCCGCATGATTTTACACTTGTCTTTCACTCTGGGTGTCTTGGGCTTCATGAGTTTACACTTGTCTCCCACTTGTCTCCCACACTTGTCACCCACACTTGTCTCCCACACTTGTCTCCCACTCTGGGTGTCTTGGGCCGCATGAGTTTACACTTGTCTCCCACTTGTCTCCCACACTTGTCTCGCACTCTGGGTGCCTTGGAACGCATGATTTACACTTGTCTCCCACTTGTCCCTCACACTTGGGTGCCTTGGGCCGCATGAGTTTACACTTGTCTTCCACTTGTCTCCCACACTTGTCTTTCACTCTGGGTGTCTTGGGTCGCATGATTTTCACACTTGTCTCCCACTTGTCTCCAACACTTGTCTCTCACACTTGTCTCCCACACCTGTCTCCCACTCTGGGTGCCTTGGGCCGCATGAGTTTACACTTGTATTCCACTTGTCTCCCACACTTGTCTCTCACTCTGGGTGTCTTGGGCCGCATGATTTTACACTTGTCTCCCGCTTGTTTCCCACACGTGTCTCCCACTCTGGATGCCTGGGAGCGCATGAGTTTACACTTGTCTCCCACTTGTCTCCCACACTTGTCTCCCACACTTGTCTTCCACACTTGTCTCCCACACTTGTATCCCACACTTTTCTCCCACTCTGGATGCCTTGGGCTGCATGAGTTTACACTTGTCTTCCACTTGTCTCCCACACTTGTCTTTCACTCTGGGTGTCTTGGGCCGCATGATTTTACACTTGTCTCCCACTTGTCTCCCACACTTGTCTCCCACACTGGGTGCCTTGGGCTGCATAAGTTTACACTTGTCTTCCACTTGTCTCCCACACTTGTCTCCCACTCTGGGTGTCTTGGGCCGCATGATTTTGCACTTGTCTCCCACTTGTCTCCCACACGTATCTCCCACTCTGGATGTCTGGGTGCGCATGGTTTTACATTTGTCTCCCACTTGTCTCCCACACTTGTCTCCCACACTTGTGTCCCACTCTTGTTTCCCACACTTGTCTCCCACTCTGGGTTCTTTGGGCTGAGTTTACACTTGTCTCCCACTTGTCTCCCACACTTGTCTCCCACTCTGGGTTCCTTGGTTCGCATGTACAATATTATTGAACATTTCTACATCTGTTTGGGGTCAACGCTGGTATAATTTTATATTTTGTTTTGTTCATTTATTTTCATTTGTTCATTTGTTTTCATTTATCTTCATATTTTGCCATTTCTTTCATTTCCTGCATGTTCTTTCTCTTGAAAAAAACATTACCAATCCAGAGCATTTCCATGTCGACCCACGACTTAGTTCTGCTGAAAAAGAAAAGATCATAACCCATAGGATCCATGTATGCTATATATGGTAACATGGATCCCATCCATATACCCCCAATGTTAGCATATATACCAGCACCATGGATCCTATGGGTAAACGACCTGACCTATCCAAGTGGTTTCCCGATCCTATGATCCGAGGCATTCCAAGGCGCCGTGGACTCTTGTGAGATGGTCAAATCAATGCTGCGGCCGCTGAGCAGGGCCACATGCACCGAGATCGACATGGCACGGTGAAGGCCAGGGTGAACGTCAAAGGATGCAGAAGAGTTGTTGATGTTTATGTTTATGAAACCATCGCGATATGAATATGCATATGTAATTCAAAACATGAGTATATATAGAGATAATCTTCGAAATTGCAGATTAGATACAGGGGATTCAAGTAAGTGTTTTCCTATGCTGTAGGCTGAATAGGTGTTTCATGTATAGTAAACACATGTAAACACATACAAACAGAAATCACATACTGCATCTGGATTTAAAACCATGCTTCTGCCCGACATTTACCAATGGTCTTACCCATACTATGTCAGTCATTCGTGATCCAGGCATACATAAACAGCACGAAACAAGTGTGTATTAATATATATATATATATACTTAGATAATAGTTTGCCAACAGTGTTCCGCCGCATTTTTGTTGAGGTCTGTTGGCATGGTGGGGTGCTAAACTCCATGACCTTCAAAAAACTTTTTTTGGGCGGAACAATGTGCTGCACAGCACAGTTAGCCGGCCGGCAAGACTTAATACTGTCACCAGCTCTGGCGAACTGGATTGAGCCGACTAGGGTTGTGGTAGTAGATGGCTTCTGTCGGAATGGAAATGATAATTATCAAAATGGCAATGTTTGTGAGTAAATGAGATTGAATCCTTGGATTTAGGGGCACCCTGAAAAAAATAGGCAAGCAGACCCAAGGCCATAAACCGCAGCCACTTACCCAATAGTAAAGCATTTAAACGTATTTTCAAACATCATACCCAACGAAGGGATTTATTGACTATTGTGTGCTTTCCCACATTACAGTCCCCATTTGGTTCATTTGGGATCCGCCTACTGATATATGGGCCAGCGGCCAGCGGTCATTTCGAATCCATTCTCATCCGAAGCACGAGTAGGGACGGAAATGTTCAAGCACTTGAAAGCATAAAGCAACTATGTCCTTAAAAACATAAAGAACAAATGAAGCAAGTTAGCACCCCATATTTTGGAAAGTTGGTTTGCAACTAATACATATGACTGTGGTTTTTGGGCAAATGTATCTATAACTTAGTTTTTGGCGTCTGAATCAAAACCCTAAACAAAAATGATGATTGACGATGATAACTCACCCTCACCAGGAAAAAAACAATGATAATTACATTTCCGTTGCAAAGTGATGATCATTTTTTCAAACAACTACTTCAGGGTATACTTTAGTTTTGGCGTCTGAATCAATTAAACCTGGGAAAATTATGATGACTGATGGTAAAGTTCTTACCAATTGATTTCTTTAAATCTACATCCATTGCTTCCACGTGCTGTTTATAGCAAACGATGACATCTGAGGAACCCCACAGCTATCCTGAGCCATGGAATCCCCGACATCAATATAGTTGGGGGAAACCGGCTGCATAGAAACTTGCTGCACTATCTTTCTTTAAAGGGATCTATAGGGATATTCAGAGGGATATTCAGGTGGATAATAAATGGCAATGTACCATCCGGTACTCAAATATGGAAGAAAATGCCAAAGGGTGACCAATTCCCACGTTTGTAGATATGAATCACCCACTAATTGTATTTATATGGAACCTATAAGCTATTGATCCGTAGGCATATCTGTCCGTCAAAATATGGTGGTGTAAAAAATATACTGGCACCAAGTTTGCAAACTGGCGTGCAATGCAAACGCTAACAAAGATGAACCAGACTGTAGCCCTGGTTCTTCTGCATTTCTCAAAGTGCAAACTGCAGGATTGCGAGACACTCACTTTGATAATCGTGACACATAATAAACACAACCATCCTCAAAGGCAATAGGCACCCATTGAAGTTTCTATTCGTTAGGAACTGCACAAACCAGTTGTTGGCTATGTACTGTTGATAAAACAATGTTCATACAACCCGTGGTAAGTCATTGGGATGGTGGATCCTATTGTTTGACTAATTTTCACTAACATTCCCATTCATTCTACCATTCATTAATATATTCCCAGTGGAATTACCATTGATAAAAATCAACCATTGCCCTCTGTCGATTTCAACATAGCTGGATGTCTGAGTCTGCAGCCTGGGTTGTCTCAAGGCAGCCTGACGTCAAGTAGCGGTTGAGGCTCCATAATATGGCAATATAGCCTATAGCTCAAAAAAATGGGCTATGTCCATTTTCAAATAGCCATTTTATACCGGAAAATATCGAAAAAATCGGAAAAATGATCAATCATGATGCACGATGATTAGCCCATGGATTTTGGGGCATCCTATTTTCAGACAAACTCATGGGTGATATCGCCGGAGTCCATTGCCTGTCCCATACCAGTTCCGGAGGGACCTGAGATCAGCAAGCATGACCGAACTTCACCGAAGGGGAGGCCGCGAATGCCATAAAGGTCGTAGGCTAACATGGCGAAACTTCGATTTTCCAGTGCAGATGCCACCTGTTAGCTGAACAAAATTATATAACCATATGGAAAAACATTATTTTTTTGCATACCATTTCCCATAGCTAGGTTAAACATGGTTAAACTACCGGAGGGTATTTGTCATGTTTTAGCGGGGTACCGGTTTGATGTATCTCTCCCTTGTGGTTTAAAAACAAACCGACAACTAGACCTACCAAACCAGGGCTTTATCAGCGAATAAACAAGCAAATAGCAAGGGGAGTAGACAAACCGACAAACACATGGATTGAATGATTTGAATGGACTTGCGGGCGGCGGTTCAAATCCGAATTCAAAACCAGCTCACCCGCGCAATCAAGCCAGAATCATCCGCACACTCAGAACGAGGATCATCAGCGCACTCGTCCCAGAAGCATCCGCGCACTCAAAATGAGGGTCACCAAATGTCACCAACGCGCTCAAAACGAGGACCGCCTGTACATCCTTCACATACAACAACATCTTGGGAGGTGGGGCGGGGAATCATCATACATAATGTGGTGGGGGATCATCATACATCAACATCTGGAGGGTGGAGTGGGGGATCATCATACTGGGGGGTGGGGTGGGGGATCATAATACATCAACATCTGGAGGGCGGTGGGGAACCATCATACATCAACATCTTGGGGGTGGGGTGGGGAATTATTGTACGTCAACATCTGGAGGGTGGGGTGGGGGATCATCATACATCAGTATCTTGGGGGCTGGGTGATACTCATCATCCACATGCGCATCTATCTATCTATATATCTATCTATCTACCTATCTATCTATCTATCTATCTATCTATCTATCTATCTATCGTTCTATCTATCTATCGGTCCTTCGATCTATCTATCGATCTATCTATCTATCGATCTATCTATCTATCTATCTATCTATCTATCTATCTATCTATCGTTCTATCTATCTATCTATCTATCTATCTATCTATCCATTTCTCTCTCTCTCTCTCTCTGTGTCTAATCTTATCTAATCTTATCTAATCTTATCTTATCTGTCCTATCTATCTAACTAATCTATCTAATCTATCTATCTATCTATCTATCTATCGGTCCTTCGATCTATCGATCTATCGACCTATCGATCTACAGATCTACTGACCTATCTATGTATCTGTCTATTTATCTATCTATCTGTCTATCTATCTATCTATCTGTCTATCTATCTATCTATCGATCTATCTTTCTGTCTATCTATCTATCTGTCTATCTATCTATCTATCTATCTATCTATCTATCTATCTATCTATCTATCTATCTATCTATCTATGTGTCTATCTATCTATCTATCTGTCTATCTATCTGTCTATCTGTCTATCTATCTACCTATCTACCTATCTACCTATTTACCTATCTATCTATCTATCTATCTGTCTATCTATCTATCTATCTATCTATCTATCTAATCTATCAAATCTATCAAACTAATCTATCATATCTATAAAATCCTTCAAATCTATCTAACCTATCAAACCTATCTAATCTATCAAATCTATCAAATCTATCTAATCTATCTAATCTATCTAATCTACCTAATCTATCAAATCAATCTAATCTAGCTTATCTATCAAGTCAATCTAATCTATCTAATCTATCTAGTCTACCAAATCTGTTAAAATCTATCTAATCTATCTAATCTACCAAATCTATCAAATCTATCTAATCTATCTAATCTATCTAATCTATCTAACCAATCTAATCTATCTAATCGATCTATCTATCTATCTGTCTATCTATCGATCGATCTATCTTTCTTTCGATCTATCTGTCTATCTGCCTAACTAGTAGCTATGTAGCCATGTAGCCATCTAGCCATCTAGCTATCCACTATCTAGCTATCTAGTTATCTAGCTGTCTAACTAGCTATCTAGCTATCTAGCGATCTATCTATCCATCAAATCTACGTACGTATGTATGTATGTATGTATCTATGCATGTATGCATGCATGTTTGTATGCATGTACCATGTTACCTAGTTTAGAGGCGATCCCAGTTGGACGGATACTTGCGAGTCCGTTTGACCTGTACAGGCGATACTGTTTGACGTATGCAGGCGATCCCCGCTCAATGGGTAAATTTGATCCCCATTTGACGGATCACAGGAGAATATGAAAATACGTGGAAGGCGGTTTGCACGTAGCACGTACGCTCTAGATTCTAGACCTGCATGCACCTGCATTTGCATCTCAACATGACTGATTGAACTGGGCAGTTGCCGTACAGTGATTGGACGATGCGGCTTCCAGGCACAAACTAATCGGCAACTCTGACTTCTCATCAAAACTGCGACTGTCCATGGACATGACAACAGCGATTTCAGAAATCGGCAATTGTTGGATCACTTTCTCCGGTCCTACCTGGTTATCTCTCAGTTTCTCTCAGTGATCAGTTTTCTGGCTGGGAAACTCCAATTGTATCTCCAGCTGGCTCCCCATTCAGTACATAAGCTTTAATAATCCCAACCCCCTTATGTTAAACACCCTAATTTCTCCCAAATATGTGTAAATCCCGCATTAAACCAAGGCTTCTGGAGGCTGTCTAGTTTCAGGGGGATGGGATCAATGAAGATAGATACGAATGGCTCCATGGCTCCAGGCTCCCTCCGAGCTCTTTTCGGGCTCCCCAACGACGCGGCTGACCGGAGGTTGGTGGGCTTGGCCTGGCTCCACATTGAAGATCTATAGTTGGCATCGAACTGGCCTACAAAATGAATAAAAATGACCTATACTTTTTTCAATGTCAAAATGTATAAATAAATAGCTGGAAAACTCCACTGGAAAACCTAGTGCCCATTATTTTGGGCACTTTCCAAAGTGCCCGAAATTTTGGTCAATGGAAAGTGTACCATTTTAGGAGTAGGATTTCTACAGGTATTTTTGGCACTTTACGGATATTTACGGCACTTTTAAAGTCATTTTTGCAGCAAAAGATGAAGTGCCTTTTTTTGGTGTGAGAATTGCAAAGTGCCACCAAAATGGGCTATCAGGCCAAAGTAGCCTGAAACACTAGGCAACTGCGGTTTTCCAGGTAGTAACGCGCACTTACAAGATAACAATGATAACATCAACAATATTTATTAAGAATGCTAAAATCACGAGCAATAATAATAAAACATGGATAGATAGATGCATAGATTAGATTGATGAGATCAAATAAAAGTACTTCCATCATCACTGTTCGCAATTTGGGGTGTGATCCGTCAGGTTTAGATCCGATACCTTTCAAATCTCAACAAAAAACAAAAAATGCCAGAAGTTCACGTCTGATTGTGGTATCACATGGTATCATCAAGAGGCAATAATGAAACAAAAGAAAATGCGGGCATGAATGTTTCCTATCAAAGCAACGATGATTTTTTCGTGATAAGCCGTTAATTGAAACTATGGCAGCCAATCTAATGACAAGTGATCCCTGTCAGTTGAAATTGACGGTTGAGGGTTCTGAACGTAGCAGCAGGCATGACCTCGGCTCAATTGACATTGACCTTAAGCCCATGCAACAATAGACACCGGCAACAGCAATGCCAAGTAATGACAACTTTCGCACCTGTATATGCAAGCACATCACCCCTATAGACACTTGTTGGCCCATTTTGAGACATTTGGAATAATTTTGAAACATTTTGAGCAACTTTGAGCAACTGTAAGCAACTTTGAGCAATTTTGAATACTTTTGAGCAATTTTGAGCCATCTTGTCGTGTCAGTTTGCGTCATTTCGAGCAATTTTGAGCATTCTTGTCGGGCAAGTTTGGGTCATGTCGAGCGATTCTGCACCATGTTTGGAAACACGATATGGCATTGTCGGCCTTGGACGGTGTTCAAAATGTCTCAATTGAGGCTGCTTTGAGACATCATGCTTTGGCTGAAAAAGGTAGCTGATCAAACCCCACGGATCTAGACCCTAAAACGAGATCAGTGACATCAGTTCCTTTGTCTTTTCATTATGGGATGGTAAGAACTGAAATATTTCAAAAAGGGGTGGGTTCCCCCCCACACCTAGACATATTTCAGCTAAAAAAAATTGTTTATAATGGTCTCTCCAGGGCCTGGTTGAATGCATGCATGAAGTTTTCTTGAGCGATGGCACACAGGTAGTAAGGGTAATACATGGCAGTATATGGTAGTATATGGTAGCATGTGTGTATATATATATATATATTAGTGAGACCTACAAAAAGCAAGTTCGTATGCACATAGAATAATGATGATATAGAACCTGTGTCATCTTTTTTCGGTATTTCACTGGACTCGACGCAACCGCATGCGTCTCGTGCAATGAAACGCCCACCTATGGCCATAGCCACCTTTGACCTGGGCATGGAACTGGCATGTCCAAATGCCAAGGGAAAATGTGCATTACCCTACACAAAATTAACATAGGCCCTGAAGTGGATGAACATGGGAAGTTCTTCTAACCTTCCAAACCCCTGCTTGGCAGCGTCTAGTTTAATTTACCAGAGGGCAATCACCAGTGTCAGAATGTGAGGTACTTAATGTGGGAATATCATTGGAAGATCATCATGGGGATATAATAACTGCGGTATGATTGCCAGCGTCATATTTCAATGCTCAAAAGTTTCAACTACCCCTATTTACGCAATTATCATCGAAAACCCTGTTCCACCAATAATAACTATCACGGGGAAAAAATCCACCGACCCCTCCCGACATCAAGGGGAGCGCGTCAGAGAAGAGGGGACAGAACACAAGGAGCAAGAGCAAGAGCAAGAAGCCAGCAGAAGAAGGCCGGAGACACGACCCAAGTGTTCCGACCCAAGTCTTCTTGGAGCAAGTTTAACATTAGGCACGACCAGCTGCAGGCCGAAGGCGCAGTCCATCCTTCGCTGGCATGCTGTTTCAGTGTGGCGAAGGGGGGTGCGTTTTGGAAGCCTAGCATTTTGGTCTCTTGCCCTTCAGAAAGCAACCCTGTTTTTCGGATGTTCCAAAGGAACGCAATGCTGTAGATTACAATTGTGTTTTCGCGTCTTTTGCAGGAACAATGCAAAAACGTAAAATTGCAAATACCCGTCTTCTTGGGAGCAGAGATGCACAAAACACAAAACAGTGCAAATACCAGCGTGTTTGAAGGCAAAAAAATGTTCTTGGCGGGTTCACCAGAAAAAACGCTTGATTCACACAATTTTTGCAATGTCAAGAAAAAGTGGAAAGCAGGAAACACAAATAGCCGTTTTTTGGCAACTTTTGGAAACGCTGGTGCTTGCACATTTTTGTTGCCCGTGAAGGCGCCACAAGCCTGTAAATTGCAGTATGTTTTGCAAGTTTGCGTTTTGCAATTTAGTGTGTGAACCAATTTTTGGTCTTGCTCAACACCAAAAAAACGCATGTTGTTATGGCACACAGCTCCCTCAAGACCATTCAATCGGGGAAGACTATGCAAAAATGAAGGCAGGACCATACAAAATTGTAGAAAACACAGGAGGACCCTAGAAAAAACAATGGAAAATGGAGCAGCACAAGCCGAAAAGTGAAGGTCAAAACATACATGGAGCTTTCCAATACAAGACAGGTGCATACGTCTTGCAAATGGGGGGCCGCACTAAGATTGCACACCCCGCTTTCAACAGATGCGGGGAATAGCGGCACTAGTTTTGGGTAGTTTTGGTGTCTTTACTCACTATATGATGGCACACAGAAATTGAAGGAGCTTCCTGGAATGCCATCAGAAGCCAAAGGACACGGTGAGGGAATGAACGCCTCTTTGATGGCATAAATGCATTGTTTTGTGTAGTATGTCATCTTATCGCAAATCCCAATACACGTTTTTCACACAATCGAAAGTCGTGACGTGCATGCAACCCTGTAAATAACAATAGCAACGTTTTGGCCACTTTCAAGGCCTAAGCTGCGGTATTTACGTGAGTTTTTGTGTCTGACGGTGCAAAATGCTGTAAAGAACACTATTTTGTGCGCTTTTATTTTATTTCCCAGCAATGCTGGTCACACGTTCTTGGCATTCTTCAACCATGCCTTCCCGACTTGCCCCCGCAAAAATAGAACAGCAAATTTCCAAGAAAAAACATTCCATCAGAATATGTTCGAGAAGCAATTAAGCATATATTTCTCAAGCAGGTCGTCAAACAAAAGCGATAGCTTTAAAGCAATGAAATGGCAACGGACCTACGCGAAATTCAAGGGTTAAGCAATTGTTTGGCGGAGCCGACGATGAGCGTCAGCTCTGAAATAACATAATTCAAATGTACCATCTGGTTATTTAACATAGTCATGGAAAATCACCATTTTTAATAGGTAAACCATCTATTTCTATGGGCCATTTTCCATGGCTATGTTAAATAAGCAGAGGGTAATGCGAAAATATCATGGGGATATAAAAACTGTGACTCTTTTCGCCAAAAAGAATGTGGGAATACCATGGGGTTGACCCGCTGACAATTTGTGGGGATGTCCTTTGGTAATCACACACAGCAATGGGGAAAAAACGTTTGTAAATGAGTATTTTAATGGAAACATGATCTAGAATCTATAGCTGGATGACATAGCCAACTTACGATACAATATAATACAATATATGGGTTTGTCTGACAATGGAAATGTACCCTCTGGTTATGGCCATGCAAACATTAGAAAAAAAGGAATAATTTCATAATCCAGTGGAATTGGGGGTAGCCTGTTCTGAGACAAAGCCATGTTGCATATCTAAATGTGTGTTGAAGTATGTTGAAGTGGTTGATGTTGTTTTATCAATTCTACTTCAACTGGACACCGGATTACACTCTAACCATGTTTGTCCATGTAGTCGGAGAAACGGCAGGGGAAGATTGATATGAAACTCATGGGACCGAATGGGACCCTAAGATTCTGCGCTGTCAAAAATTAGAAAATGACTTTGTCAAATTACTTCGAAGGTGACATCCTCAAGAATGTGTTCAAAAATGATGTTCCACGCTCCCCATGTTGATGGCATTCAATGGATAGGAAGTGGTTAATTTTCTACCACGGTAAGCCCTGGTTCTATCACCCACCAACCGCGCCAGGCGTTTGCCGAGTCCCTGGACGGGTATGGAGCTGGTAGCACTGGAAACAGCATCAGCACATCCTCCAGGGCGAGCTAGGCAAGCCAGGCAAGTGGCAAGTATGCTTCCCCATGTCACACATCTGTCATTGCCATCGCCCTCTCCCCACTTCAGCAAAACCCTTATATGATGCACATACACAAAACAAATACATCATAACGGCTCACCTATGCAGATGCTCCACAGATCAAAAGGTGCCTATTCAATCGCAAATATGTATGGGGCAAATCACACATGCATACTAGGTTCAAGCTTCTATCGTACCCTATTGGAATCATATCCACTTACATCGAAACAAACGAACCTCGCTGTCTTGCTGGTTGAAGGAATCCCTAGAGATTTTCCTGGGAAAACTTGAATTGCTGATGATTGTTGTGGTTTTTCTTAGGGGTGCAGATTTTTATGTTTGTTTTGTGTTTGTTTTTTTGTTTTTCCTTGCTATTTGCTACATATGTTGGAGCAAAACATGTACTTTGCTGAATTTTGAAGCTAAAATTTGCCATTTGCAATGTTCATCGTTTTTTCCATAGTTTTCATTGAGTATTCCATGGTTACAATTGATTTTTCCATGGTTTCAATCAATTTTTCCTTGCATAACATGCACCTGGTGAACATGTAGAATATAGGTTGAAGCACAACCCTGTTGTGGCTTTGGATGCTACCATAGTGTTGGTGGGTTTAGGGTTCATTTAGGGTTGGTTTAGGGTTGGTTTAAGGTTTACTTAGTGCTGGTTTAGGGTTTATTCAGGGTCATTTAGGGTTGGTTTAGGGTTTATTTAGGGTTTATTTAGGGTTTGTTTAGGGTTTGTTTAGGGTTTATTTAGGTTGGTTAAGGGTTTATTTAGGGTTAGTTCAGTGTTTATTTAGGGTTATTTGGGGTTGGCTTAGATTTATTTAGGGTTGGTTTATGTTTGGTTTAGGGTCATTTAGGTTTGGTTCAGGGTTAATTCAATGTTATTTAGGGTTGGTTTAGGGTTTATTGTTTAGGGTTTATTTAGGGTTGGTTTAGGGTTTATTTCAGGTTGGTTTAGGGTTGATTTAGGGTTATTTAGGGTTGGTTTCGGGTTTATTTAGGGTTGGTTAATGTTGGTTATGTCGGGTTGGTTTAGGGTTTATTCAGTTTGGTTCAGTGTTTATTTTAAGTTTTTTGTAGGGTTTGTTTTAGGGTTTATTTAGGGTTGGTTTAGGGTCTATTTAAAGTCTGTTGGGGGTTGGATTAAGGTACATGTAGGGATACAAGGTGTGTGTGTGTGCATAAAGATAGATATTATGAGATAGATAGATAGATAGATTAGATTAGATTAGATTAGATAGATAGATTAGATAGCTAGATTTAGATAGATAGATTAGATAGATAGATAGATAGATTAGATTAGATTAGATTAGATTAGACTGGATTAGATTAGATTAGATTAGGTAGATAGATAGATAGATAGGTAGATAGATAGATAGATAGATTAGATAGATAGAAAGATAGATAGATAGATAGATGGATAGATTAGATTAGATTAGATTAGATTAGATTAGATTGGATTAGATTAGATTAGATTAGATTAGGTAGATAGATAGATAGATAGGGAGATAGATAGATAGATAGATAGATTAGATAGATAGGATAGACTAGATAGATAGATAGATATAGATAGATAGATACATAGATAGATCGATAGATAGATAAGATAAGATAGGTAAGATAAGATAGATAGATAAGATAGATAAGATAGATAAGATAGATAAGATAGATAAGATAGATAAGATAGATAAGATAGATAAGATAGATAAGATAGATAAGATAGATACGATAGATACGATAGATAAGATAGATAAGATAGATAGATGATAGATAGATAGATAGATAGATAGATAGATAGATAGATAGATAGATAGATAGATAGATAGATAGATAGATAGATAGATAGATAGATAGATAGATAGATAGATAGATAGATAGATAGATAGATAGATAGACAGATAGATAGATAGATAGATAAATAGATAGATAGAAAGATAGATAGATAGATAGGATAAGATAAGATAAGATAAGATAAGATAGATAGATAGATAGATAGTTAGATTAGATTAGATAGATAGATAGATTTAGATAGATAGATAGATAGATGGATGGATAGATAGATAGATAAATAGATTAGATAGATTAGATAGATTAGAGCGATTAGATAGATTAGATAGATTAGATAGATGAGATAAATTAGATAGATAGATGAGATAGATTAGATGGATTAGATAGATTAGATAGATTAGATAGATTAGACAGATTAGATGGATTAGATAGATCAGGTATATAGATGATATAGATTAGATAGATTAGATTGATTAGATAGGTTAGGTAGGTTAGATAGAGTAGATAGTTAAGATAGATTAGATAGATAAGATAGATTAGATAGATAAGTTAGAAAAGATAGATACAATAGACAACATATAAAAATAATGAGAATATAGATTAAATAGATTAGATAGGTTAGATAGATAGATAGATAGATAGATAGATAGATAGATAGATAGATAGATAGATAGATAGATAGATAGGTAGATAGATAGATAGATAGATAAGAGAGGGTTAGATTAAATTAGGTTAGATAGATAGAGATATATGTATATATATATATATATTGATAGATTAGATAGATACTTTGGAGAGATACTTTAGATAGATACTTTAGATGGATAACTTTAGATGGATACTTTAGATACATACTTATGGATAACTTTAGATAGATACTTTAGATTCAGTAGATACTTTAGATACATATTTTAGATAGATACTTCAGATAGATTAAATAGATAAAACATATAAACTAAGATAAAAACAAATAAGGTTAGATAAGATAAGATGAAGTTAGATTAGATGAAGTTAGATTATATAGATAAATAAGCAAAGCATGGTAGAGCCATAAAAGCCACACAGCCACAAAATAGCCACGATGATCCCATGGCCATGGTCCAAGAGCATCCAACCACCACTACTCAACCAGAGTTTCCATGGCCTACGGAAGTGGTTGCAGCACTCCAGTCATCCTCCTGGGCAAATCTCGGACACCGGGTGACCCCATTGGGCTTCCAGGTGGATTGTTCAATTTTGGCGGCAAAGCCACAAACCCTGCTGCCCACAGCAAAACCAGAAGCCCTGATTGAGGACTTGTTCGTCAAATATCTTGCCAAATTCGGTGGAATCTGAACTTCCGAACTTCAATATCAGCATATCATGGTGGCAAAATTGGCAAAGAACGCTGCCCTTCCGCCATGCCTTCACTTTCTGCCCTGGGTCAAATCCATGAACCTGGGCGGTGCCAGAGAGTGGGGAGCCATATTTCCGCCAATGAACTTTACAGAAAACGTATGAAAACGTACCTGGACGTGGTTATAATATGTTATAATGTGGCAATGTGCGCAGCATTTTCGGACGTTTGCTCATTTGTTTCACGGTACTTGGAGTCCCTGGAGGGTCTAAGTAGGCCTGCCCATTAAAAAAATGGACATGGAGAAGGTCGGTGGTGCAATGGGGACTTGACATTCAAGCAACATCTGCTGCGCAATGAAAGCAACATGAGTTTTTGATGGGGATATGGATGGGATGTGGGTGTTGAATCTGTTAAGCAACATCCGGACTGAAAAACTTGAATTTGAGACAGAAATACTGTGGCCAGCCTCGGTCAAACTATCAGCCCCTAAGTCTCCTCACCCAACAACAGTTGGTCAGCCACCAAAACAAACACATGTAACATGGAGCCGCCAAATTTGATCAAAATTATTCCGATATTTTATGGACTGTAATGGGCTGGAACCCATCCATGGTCAAAATCAAGTACAAGTTTGAAAGACAGCTCATGTTTTTCGCATGTACTAATCGCCATTTTGTCACCACCTGCCAGGTGAGGGTCTCTAGATTCTAACAAAGGTGCAACTCCTCGTCCTTGTCCTTGTCCTTGTCCTTGTCCTTGTCCTTCTCTTCCTCTTCTTCTTCCCCGAGCCCTATCGGCCCTATCGCGAGCTCCGGATGCAGCTGGGCACGCCTGGACCCGAACTCCATCCTAGAGACGGGATCATACGCCAGAGAGAATGCCAGAATGAATGCCTGAAAAGAATCCAGTCAGAATGCCAGAAAGAATGTCGGATAGAATGCCAGAGTACATGCCAGAAAGAATGTCAGAATATTATATATATATATACATACCTATATATGTGCCATTTATACTTTCAAATGGTATGTCAGAAACAATGTCAAAATAGTGTGCCAGGGTGGCGATAGCTCGAAGAAAGGATTTGTTGTATACATTATATCACGATTCCAATAATTTTGAGGAAACTCATCTGCACGTAATTAAACATAGCCAATCATCTATGCCAATTTAGCGTATCCGACATGGAAAATGACCCGTTTCCCAGATGATTCAGCCATGCAGCTACCGCGTTCACGCCCATCTTTGGGCCTGGTACGAATGGCTCCCTGGCTCCTTCCCACCGGTGAGTTTTGGATTTCCACATCTTCCAAAGACAAGCCGCATCCACATGTATACACTTTGTTTTTGGTGTAGTCAGTGGGGATCATGATTCTAAAGAGTCGTATGAGCAATATGCTTTTGTTGCTAGTCCTTTTTGCCATTTTTTTACTTCCATTGTGGTTGGTCCTGTCTCACTCCCATCGTTCTCGAACGTGGCTACCATCTTTCAAAATCCATATTGGTTGCACTAATTTTTGACATATTTGAGCATTTGCTTTGCACCAAAGCACCATGGCAATACCCAGAAGTGGGACATCAACAAACGTCTAATCACTGCATAATGTTGACCCAGGATTAATCAACCTTTCATTTGACAGCGACAATGATCTAGGAATTGATCAACATTGATCACTCTTTTAGAACCCACCCTTTTCAATCATATTGGTTACGGGAGTTTCTTCATTGGGGTTGACAGATTTTTGCCCAACAAAACATTGAACATGTATCACTTCGCAGGCCGCCTGCAGGTAGTAAGGTAGTAGTTTGTTAATTCTGAGATATGCTGAAATTATTTGGTGATGGATCAAAACTACGTCTCCCTTGGTTTTCACATCAAAGCTGGGATTATTCGCTGGTCTATTCCCCAGAAGTGAGCTGATCCAAAGCCAGGCGCTGGCACCTGGTGTGGGCGCTCGACACTGAGCAGTAGAAGCCTCAAGACTCAATGCCGATCCAACATCTTTCAATGGCATATATAACTTGCGGATATAATTCAGTGTGTGCACATGTAATTAGTATGAAATAAGCAATTCAGTATTCATACTATCTGCGTAAAATGTGTTGTTACATATGCTATGCCGCTATGCGATTCAAACATGTATATCATAACACTGTGCTTCTAATGAACACAATACACAATACACATTTATATTTTTGTTTATATTTAAAATATATCAACACATTTAAAATTATAATATATATATATATTATATACACATACATACCATGTGTATCCATGTGGTCCACTTCATTTGAACCATCATTGTCAATCATTTTAAGATATCTAATTTACACAGGGGGGTTCCACTGGCAGGTTGGATTTCCGGAGGAGACGTCTTCTGCTGACATTGCCATGTCCAACCGCAACAAGTTGGCATGGGATTCACCCAAGTTGAGCCTTGCCATTTGTTGCTGATCTTAGATTTCATGCCTGCCATCGAAACAGAACACTCGTGTAGTTTTTTGGGTCTTAGCTCATATATCTCATATTTTATCATATTTTGCATGGGCATGGTCGCGAAGATTTTTTTTTTTGTTTTCCCTCTCTCTCTCTCTCTCTCGTTCTGAGCCACTGGCACGATCCACTGACAAACGCCCCACGGCCGACGCCACAGGTGCTACCGGCGCTACCGGGGCTACCCGTGCTGGTGCCGCCACCGGTACTGGCCGGCAGTCCTTCCTGGGCAGAGCGGGTTCTAGCTCACGGGGTATGTAAGATCTGCTGGCACTGAACAAACGAATACACTATAGAAAATGTTGTGCCATGGTTTTGTTTGGATGTAACTGATGATCTTTACAGTCTTTACATCCTAGTTGCTGTAAATATCGAAATATCCAAGTTTGCTATTGGATTCTTGGGTTCTGATTGTTGTGGAGTGGCTAATGGCTAATGTTACATTCCTGTGATGTAAATGGGATTTGGCCTGCTAGACGTTAACTGGGATATGATAGGATCGTTTCTGCGTATCTTTTCGCCACCAGCCCAGCACAGGAATGGCTGTGAGTGGTTCGCAACCTGCACCCTGTCCAAAATGCCAACCTTGACTTCTAGGGCACAGGCTGCTTCGCGATGTCTTCATACCTGCTATGGTGCTTTGGCATCTGGATACTCATTGATAATCTGAATGTCGAATGGAAGGGCTCGTAAGCAAAGTCACAACTCGACAAAGGAGGCTTGGTATCACTCTGAACCTTTGGATGCACTCGGGGTCCAATCGTCAGAGTTGACTCTTGGTTGGAGCAGGGCAGTGAGACCAAAATCGTGGGTCCCAGCCCCTACTTACATGGGCCAAGTGGCCTAGGATGAATGTGTGGCCCGAAGAAATGCAGAAATGTCGCAACGTCCACCTGGCGGTTTGAGTTGCGAAGGTGGTACCCCTTATGATCGGGAAGTTGGCTGAGAAAAGTGGGTTTGCTTTGGTTTATGATAGGTAGATAGATAGATGGATTACTGGATGGATGGATCGATAGATAGATAGATTAGGTAGATAGATGTAGATAGGTAGACAGATCGATCGATAGATCGATCGATAGATAAGTTAGATAAGCTAAACACGCTAGATAAGATAAGATAGATAAGATAAATAAGATAGATAAGATAGATAAGATAGAACAGATAGATAAAATAGATAAGAAAGATAAGATAGACAAGATAAATAAGATGGAAAATATGGATAAGATGGATGGGCGGAGGGGTGGGTGGATGGATGAATGAATGGACGGATTCAAAGATAGAAAGACAGACAGACAGACAGACAGACAGATAGATAGACAAATAGATAGATAGATGAAACAACACATACACAAGATAGATTCAACCAGCAAGACAAAAATATCACAAGATAGATATTTATATATTGATAGATAGATAGGTAGACAGACAGACAGACAGACAGACAGATAGATACATTGGTAGGTAGGTAGGTAAGTAGATAGGTAGAGAGGTAGGTAGGGAGATAGGTAGATCGGTAGATAGGTGGATAAAGATAGAGACAGATATACACAAACAGACGGACCGACAAACAGACAGATAGATCATAGACAGACAGACAGACAGACAGACAGACAAACAAACAAACAAACAAATAGAGAGATCGATTGGTAGATCGGTCGGTAGGTAGGTAGGTAGGCAGATACATAGGGAGAGAGATAGATACGTAGATAGGTAGATAGGTAGATAAAGATAGAGACAGGTAGATACAAACAGACAGACAAACAAACAGACAGATAGACAGAAAGACAAAGAGACAAATAGATAGATAGACAGACAAACAAACAGACAAATAGATAGACAGACAAACAAACAGATAGATAGATAGATAGATAGGTAGATAGGTAGGTGGGTAGATAGACAAACAGACAGATAGATAGATTCGTAGATAGGTAGATAAAGTTAGACACAGATAGATGCAGACAAACAGATAGGCAGACAGATAGATAGCTACACAGACAAACAGACAAACAAACAGACAAACAAACAAACAAATAGAGAGATCGATTGGTAGATCGATCGATAGATGGACATATGGATATTCAATTCTGCGGGGCACCATCTGTAGGGCCCAATTTCCAGGCGTTCAAGGGCCCCAGCGCCAAGATGATCACTATGTCATTATGTTCAGCTGCGCCACAGGTCCAATCTGCACTGAAGATAACTCAGCTGCTGCTAAACTATGACAATCCCAGAAATAAGGAAATTAGTCAAATTCGCGTAAAAAAATAGTAACATACTAGCTGGATCTAGCGGGTTTATTTTTTGGGGGTCACTCTAATTACAGTGATACTTCGGCACTGGCTGCAAGGAACGGGAAAAAAAAGGGACCCACCTCTGGCTCTCCGGATCTCAGCAATGCATTGTAAACTTGGTGCCCTCAGCAGCACTCTGTTGGACCCCATCATACCCTGCCGTTTCTCGCCACTGTTTCATCGAACTCAATGGGCCATGGCTGCCGGGGCCCAAACCAATGGTGCTGTTGTAGCCGAAGCCTTCCAAAAAGTGAAGGCATTCTTGCCCTCAGCTGAATGGGTTGGACGGAAAGGGTGGCTTATGATTTATAGATAGATTCACACGTATATATGTATATGTATTGATAATTTTGTATATAAATATAAACATATATATATACATATTATGTTATTGTTTTGTAAACATCCAGAATCTCATAAAAAATAGATTGGCCAGGGAAGTTTAAAAATAAAAACGGTTAAACAATTTTTCAAAAATCCTATAATATTTACTTCAGGGTGCTTGTATGATGTTAAATGATGATATTATAATTATCCAAAGAAACCACTGCCAATCCAGATCTATGCAGTTACAATCATTTACATATATATGTTTATTGCGTTGATAATGAGGAACTCAAATGGAAACCCGAGTGCAACAAGGTGGCGAAGTGATGTCATGGAACTGGGATAATCCTGGCACTTGGTAGCCCCGTTTTTGCCCCTCAAAGGCGACCTGGTTGAAACAAATAACCAAACACGAATCATTGAGTCATCAAGGGTCAACCACTAAAACATATGGTTACCACCCATGCAAGCCAGCCCAGTCATCAAGTGCCCCGCTTGTCACGTAACCCGTCTTTGCTTCGTCCAACCAGCGGAAACACTCGCGAGTATTGCGATACCTCAGGGCTCGTTACCACGCCCTGATTGGCTTTGATGATATATGTATATATACAACTTTACTTGCAGGAGTTACAACCCCATTTCGAACTGTTAAGGGCCATAGTTACAAAGGTCAGAAAATACTTCCAAAAAAAAAATGGGAAATGGGATGGCACGGATAGCCTGCCAAAAGTCCCCCTCTGTGATATGCCATGATGTGACTGTGGGTCAAATTTGGGCCCAACAAAATAATACATCAATTTGCAGTGGCCAATACCAGAAGAAAGGATCCGAAACTGCTGTCCCTTCGGGTCTTAATCCATGCAAATAAAAAGGAAAAAAATACATGTACCATTAGTAGCGCACGAGGCGGGCCTCGGCTCAAGTTTCAAAGTTAGGAAATATAGGAAACCTATAGGAGACGTGAGTTGTTGTGATGCAAGGATGGCAAAGCATATTGATGGACCGAAAGGTGGTTGACGTTCTGCGTCTCTCCCTCTCTCTCTCTCTCTGTCACCTTCTCTTTGTGTCTCTCTATCTCTCCCTCTGTCTATCTACCTGTCTATGCAGTTGTAGTTGTAGATGAAGTGTAGTTGCAGTCTAGTGTAGTTGTAGCTGTAGGTGCAGGTGTTTGTAGTGTAGTGCAGTGTAGTTCAATGTAGTGCAGTGTCGTGCACGGTAATCTAGCGTAGTGTAGTTGTAGTCCAGTGTAGTGCAGTTGTAGTTGCAGTTGCAGTTTTAGTTAGTTGTAATTGTAGTTGTCGTTGTAGTTTTTGTCGCGTAGGTGTATAGTAAAGTTGTAGTTGCAATTGTAGTGTAGCGCAGCGTAGCGCCGGGTAATCTATTGTAGTGTAACGTAGTGTAGTTGTAGTCTAGCGTAGTGTAGTGTAGTTGCAGTTGCAGCTACAATTGTAGTTGTATTTTAGTGTAGGTGTAGTTGTAGCGGTAGTTGCAATTGTAATTGTAGTGTGTGCAGTAGTATTTAATTGTAGTTGTAAAAGTAGTTGTAGTTGCAACGAAAAATGACGATTCAACGTTCATGTGGTGCTATTGCCATTTTCACTTTGAAATGTGCTTCGTGCCACAGCCACGTGCATTTTTTTTGTTTCAACTCCAAAAAGTGCTCCGAGACCGTCAGTTTTAACACTTTTGACTTCTCAACTTCAAATTTCAAAAGTGCTCTGCATCTGAGGTGCTTTTCAACATTTTGACTTCGACATGTGCTTCGTGCCACAACGGCCTCCGCCAAATGGCTCCACACCCGCCGCTTTACCGAGCCTGCTTTTCAACCCTCCAGAGCCACGAAACATCGGAAAAAACACAGTGTTTCGCAACTTTTCTACCTTTTCGCACACCTTGATCTTCTTTCTACGGACTCTTTCTCTTCTCTGCCTCTTCCCACCTCTGCTGCTTCATCTGTCCATATTGTCGGAAGTTTGACTTCTAATCCTTCGATCAAATATATGAATGTACATGCATATGAACATACATATATATATATATAATTATATATATATGTGTGTGTAAAATATTATGCACACACACACATATATATATATGGGGATATAATGATATATATATATATATACACCAAATGAATCAAATATATTATTATATTATAATATATATATATATATATATATATGTATAATTAGAGATTATCCATATGCCATATGCACAACCAAGAGGTCCTGCCCATTCCTTGCCCGGCGCCCCTGAGTCCACTGACTTGGCTTTGGCCTTGGTTCCAATGATGTCCGCCAACTTGTTGAGATCCACCTACCAGGATGGCTGGATACATCCCCGGTGCGTAATTTTTGAGACGGCCCACTTAGTGACACCCACTCGATTCATCTTAAAATCACCAAAGAAGTTCACTTAAATTCAGCCAATTGAGCCCATTTCAGAATATCAAACTGACAAAACCTGGTTGGTGGTTGACCTACCCCTCTGAAACATATGATATAGTCAGTTGGTGTTATCATACCCAATATGTGGAAAATAAAACATGTTCCAAACCACCAACCAGAAACTGTTCACAAAATTCTGAGGGCTGCAATTCAAAGCTTACACTATTTCCATCTATTTCCCACACACAAGTACCGACTGCGCAAAGGTACAATTAGTTCACGTTCCAAAAGCAGCAGCACGGACTCGTTTTCCCCATGATGCAAGCGTTTCAAGCTTCCTCTACAGGTCTAGAACTCGGCTTCGCTGTTACGCCCATGGTGCCCCCCGGTGATGCCATCGACCGACTGGCAGAATCATCCTATACAAATATGAATTAGCAAAAGTATTGGAAAGCACTCATCAAACACTAACATACACTAACCAGATATCCAACTTACCACTTATGAGGAGAAATGCAAGAGCTGATTTCAATCCTAAAATGCTTCACAGTCCTGGGTGGCCAAGCCTCTCTCCATCACCTAAGGGATATCCTCTCTCAACTATTTCTTGCATAAAATGGGTTTGGAACCCCAGTCGTCACCATGGGTTTTATCTAATGAAGTTACTGAGTCATGGTCATCCAACGCCATCCATGACTTTGATGATTTGTGGTAGCCCCATGACTCAGGAACCCGATAGCCACCAGGATCTTACCATGAGCGACAGGAAAGACCCAGAAGATCCGTGACTTCGTGAATGCACATAACATAGATGTGGCAATTTGATGCAATTTGTAGACGAGTTTCCTGGGAAACTCCTGGTTTCCATGTCTTTCTAGCTATGCTTACCCTAGGGTAGCTCTCCAACTTGGGGTAGTTTGTGAACCTTGAACGAAAGCCATGGACTTCACTGACCAATGCTGAACGCTGGGACCAGAAAGGTTCCAGGGCACGAAAGAGCATATTGGCTCTTAAGCTTCAATAAAACATGCCCAGGCCCAAAGCAAACGTGGGCTGAAAACGGCACTTGAACAAATGTCACAAGTCTATCTGCACGCGTAGATCTTCCATGTGTTCTCCACACACACATATATATATATATAACTTATAACATATAACATCAATATATATCAAGTCAAACATGATCGGCCATGCAAAGCCACTACGATGCAATACAAGCTTTGCTGGTTGCATCGTTGCATCACCGCCGGATACGTCACATGGCCTGAGTTGAGAGCGTTGGTCATGGCTTTGGGGATTGATATGGGCATGAGATTGCACGGAATGAACACCAAGGATAGGAGTTGGGATACCGGCAACATTGTGTCAAAATTTGGCACTTCAAAAATGAAAACCAATAAATACTTTTTTGGTTCTTTGCCTGTGGTCATACGATCAACCTGGACTTTGACTGTGGTGGCATTTTTAAAGAGTCCTATGAAATTTGGGTAAGGGTAAGGATCTTGTGTTCTCTTCTCTTTACTCTACGGTCTATAGATGTCTATAGATCAAAGATTGAAAGACCCATCTCCTACTCACCAGTTCAACTTGTTCGCACCGGGTTCTGTCGGTCTTGCCATCTTTTACCCCAAATAACTATCAAGCCTTGCTCTTTACAATGAACGAGCTACTGAAGGTTTACGCTGAAATCACCATGCATGGATCCTTGGAATTCTGTGCAAACCGCCAGCGCTACGGCTGGTCGAAGTGTAATGTACAGATTAACCATCATTCCAGGGATGGTTACCCCTTACTAACCATCATTCCAGGGTTCGGTTCCACGGTTCGGTCACTATAAAAGATCCAGATCAACATCAATGAACACATCTGATCTGTCGCAGCCAACATGTTGTCTATCTAGTCTCCTACCTGGACCTCACGTGACCCGTTCTTTCCGAGAGTTTGTTTGGACTACAAACTACTAACACCGTACTTAAGTCACATCAGGCGGGAAAAGTCATATCATCCCCATGGCACGGCGGCGATACGGAGAAGTCACATCAGGTAGTGGGAAGTCACATCAGGGAAGAAGAATCACCATGGCACAGCCTGTTTCATCCATACTTGGAGATGTAGTTAAAAGTTAAAAGTAGCCGAAGCATTGCGCACAGCAATGATTTTGAAGGGCACAAGTTAATACAAACAAATTCTCGGCAGCTAATCTTATTGGATTTGAATATATTATATTGATGTCCTGCGTCGCGTGACCAAATCAAGCCCCTATTGGTACAGCCTCAATTTTCTTGCAATGCAAGAGGGTTAGCTGTAGCAAATCCTATTGGCAGGGCTATGATCTAGGATGATATAAGGATATGGGGATCCCTTGTTTTCCGCAACCAAATCTATGGCTGGCGCGATGTGTGTCGTGGACAGCTCTCAAGAAGTTTGTTGTCCTATCCCTCCAGGAATTACGAATTGGAAACAACCCTTCATTCCATTGCGGGCGGAAAGCGTGGCAGGTTTTGTCGGTGCTCCGTCTACGCCGTCTGTTGTGTCTGTTCCGTCTTGCGCCGTCTTGCCGTCTGCGCCGTCTTGCGAGATGGTGCGAGATGGCGCAGATGGTGAGCACAGCGACACAACCGCGCTATGCGACCGCAATGTTTCATTCCAACCAGCCAGAAACATTCCCTCTCTCTCTGCTGGTGTCTCCCGCCCGTACCTCCGGTCAGCGCCAAACAAGGCGACCGAGACTGTTATTTTCTGTTTCGGCAAAATGTTTGCACGAGCGGCAGCAGCAGCAGCAGCAGGGGGAAGCAGCAGCAGCAGCAGCAGCAGCAGGAGGAAGCAGCAGCAGCAGGAGGAAGCAACAGCAGCAGGAGGCAGCAGCAGCAGCAGCAGCAGGAAGCAGCAGCAGCAGGAGCAGCGGCAGCGGCAGCCGCAGCCGGCAGCCGGCCGCAGGAGCAGCGGCAGCGGCAGCCGGCAGCCGGCAGCCGGCAGCAGGAGCAGCAGGAGCAGCAGGAGCAGCAGGAGCAGCAGAGGCAGGAGCAGCCAGCAGGAGCAGCAGGAGCAGCAGAGCAGGCAAGGAGCAGCAGGAGCAGCCGGAGCAGCAGGAGCAGCAGGAGCAGCAGGAGCAGCAGGAGCAGGAGCTGCAGGAGCAGCAGGAGCAGCAGGAGCAGCAGGAGCAGCAGGAGCAGCAGGAGCAGCAGCGGCAGCAGCGGCAGCCGGCAGCGGGAGCAGCAGCGGCAGCGGCGGCGGCAGCAGCAGCAGCAGCAGCCACCAGCAGCAGCCACCAGCAAGCAGCCAGCAGCCAGCAGCAAGCAGCAAGCAGCAAGCAGCAGCAAGCAGAATCAAGCAGCAGCAAGCAGCAGCAAGCAGAAGCAGCAAGGAGCAGCAAGGAGCAGCAACAACAGGCAAGCAGTAGGTGAACAGCAGAAGGTAAGCAGGAACAAGTAGCAGCAAGCAGCAGCATGGAGCAGCAAGCAGCAGGCAAGCAGCAGGTGAGCAGCAGGTGAGCAGCAACAGGTAAGCAGCAGCAAGCAGCAGCAAGCAGCAGCAAGTAGCAGGCAAGCAGCAGGGAAGCAGCAAGCAAGCAGCAGGCAAGCAGCGGGCAAGCAGCAGGCAAGCAGCAGGCAAGCAGCAACCAGCGTTTGCCGCTTGCCCCCGTGAAAGAATGCTCAAATATATTTTGCAAAAATCATCGCAATGAAAAAATTGAACTTTTTCCAGGCGCACGGCCCCAAAACGAAGAAATCGTTCAATTACTAAAAGTTGTGGTGATGCCAAAATTGAACTTTTTCCAGGCGCACGGCCTCCCGATACGACTTAACGCTAGCGTTAGTATGAGATCCAAAGTAAATAAAAGCAAAACTGAGTTTCTGGTACAAGTAGATAGATGATGATAGATGTGTAACATAGAGATACGTAGGCAGCTTGATGAAATAGATCAGGTTGGACCTGGTTTGATTGGAGTGGAATCAAATCAAAGTACATAAGATCAGCTAGACGAACGATGATAAACGATCCATTTGCCTTGCAACACATTATTGTTTCTCAATTCGTAGCTCCAAATGCTTCCCGTGGTGCCCCCCACTTCTTGGTTTATAAATTCCGGTGAAGTAACGTGATTTCCACATATGTATATATATAATATAAAATAATAATAATAATATATATATATATAAATATATATATATATATATATATCCATAATCCATAAGTAGATTTCCAAAGGTTCCCTTCAATTTCATCACCATCATCCGTTGGGTTAAAACCCAGTGCCATAGGCACGGTGTCGGCCGGGCTCATCAACGACATGAGGATCGCCTCCTGCACCGCCAGCTCCGAACTGGAGCGTTGGCCTGGAGGTGCTGGGAAAAGCCATGGGGAATTTCGCCATAGAAAAAAGCAAAAAAAAAAAAACGGAGATAGTAAGGGAAAATAAGGGAAGTCAAAGGTGGATTGGGTGGATATGGGTGGATCTTCCGATATTACCATCGATGTTAGGATCTTCAACTTTGGGAGTTCTATACGGATCTCCACCATGTTTACTACTTGTTTACTGACAATCAATGGCATCATGATGTCATACATGGAATACTACGCATGACTGGGATATCTTGTCCGGGGTAGCCATATTTTAGGAACTCCCAAAATTTTAGTATCAAAGTAATAGATTACTACCGTAATGAAGATTATATAATTCACATTAATTCACTGGTTCTTGGATCTGTTATGATCTGTTGGTTGGTATTGGTTGGCCCAGGTTGGGTCCGCTTGGGCTGGAAGAATAGGCCGCCCCCGGGACAGTTTGGGGATTCCATGGGATTCCTGACTTGTGGGGCATGCGGCCCGGTGAGCATGTTCAAATACAGCACGGCACCAATTTCCGAGCGTGATGCCGTGAATCCCCAAATCTATCTGAGTCTGTTGCTGTCGCATGCTGTAGCAAGTTCTGACTAAACCACATGAAATTTGTGACTTCTTACTCCTTTGTTTTGATCAAGTTCATGAAAAGGGGAAAAAAACGGTTGCCTCAATGCCGCTAACTGGAAGGTCCACTGGTGTCCAATCAAGTTCCGCCCAACCCTCCCGGCCTGATATTCCAGGAGTTATCTCAACATCATCCTGGCCGCAGTCAGAGCTAGCTGCTGGAGGATTCTTCTTGCGTGAGCGCCATCTTCTTCATGCCATAAACACTGCAAAAAAAACAGCAAAATTGAAAATCGCGAGATTTCTTCGGAACAAAGCATGTGGCAAGTGCTGTAGGAAAATGTGTTTGGTCTTGCAAAGGCCCTCAGCCCTTTCTTATTTTGGATTGGAATGTTCTCTCACTGCCAAATGAAAACATCCCCAAAATCAGCTGACGGTATTTTTATCATGGGGATTCAGCGCAGTCCAAACGTGTAGCCAGCGGTTTGTTAACCACGGACACCAAGCCATAGGGGTTTATTCTGGGGGTCGCCTTTGAGGGGGTCCACTGATGATACATCCACAATCATCCCCACCTGCTGATAGGGTAGCATAGCGGCCGGCAACATCCCCGAGATATTCGTTGGAGGCAATTCACCCGGCAAACCTGCGACAATTTTGATACGACTGGGTCTGCCTTGAAGTCTGGCTATGGCTTTGGAAAAATGGGTCGGGGATGGCAAAGTTTGGTCCTTCACTGCTATGTAAATTATCAAAGCAGTGGGGTCTAAAGTCATCGTCTAGAAATTTGATGAATTTGTCTAGGGCCGGTCCCTAACTGAACCCAAAACTTTTCGGAATGTCGCCTGCGGGCAGTCATGTCTCAAGGCACAAAATGTCAGCCGCAACATTGGCCATTTGGGATCGCCATCCCAGGAAGTGAAAAAGACAACAGCTCTTGGGAAACCCATTGCTGTAAGGGAAACCCATCCCAATGAGGTTGGTTCACCTGAGACCCCAGGAATTTGGTTTTCATTTGAAAAAATGACTTTGGGCACTTCAAGATAATCCAAATAGCATGCTGCTTTTTGATGCCCTGCCCAGTCCCCCCCCCAAAAAAAAAATTAAATTATGTGTTTAGATGTGTTAAGCCATTGCCAAAGGAAATTTAGAAGTCCAAACTCCGTGAACGTTGTGTGTTTGTGAGCGACGGGTGCGGCTCATGCTCGGTTTCGCTCGGACGCGGTTCCCATTGTCAGAGATGCGCGGAGCTGATCTTCTGGGCTGCAGTTTGCATCTTGCTCCGACAGGTCCTCTATGTTAAAGGCTAAAGTTGAATTCAGGCATGCCCATCGCAGCGGAATGGCTGCGTGCATGTTCTGGATCCAGCAGTGCCAGTGTGTGTGTGTGTGGTGATCTAGAGGATCTATAGGGTTGCAGTTTGGCTGCATCGGGGGTTCCTTGGTGCCGCAGCTGCGTGCGTAATTAGTTGTATGGTGTTTTGCAGCTGGGCATCGTAAATGGTATTGCAGTGGTTGCATCAAGGTTGGGATGGTGACGTTTAGCAGATTCTAATCATGTTTGGATTTCCTTTCAAAAAGTGCTTCAAAAATCGTTTTGTTTTCGCTTTGGCGCCGAGATCCGGTCTTGGAGCTCCAATCTCAGTTGCCATTATCTACGTGAAACTTCTTTGTGCAAAGTTTCTGTGATTTTCTGTGTCTAAAAGCTTCGGTGTGTCAAAGCTAACTTTTCGGTGTAAAAACTTGTAGTACAAAGTCTTACTGGAGAGTGCTTTCTGCAAGCTTTGTAGCACAAAGAATGTACAAAGATGTACAAAGTAGTACTGGGAAGTGCTTGTGCAAGCTTTGTAGTACAAAGTAATGCTGGGAAGTACGTTGAGCCAGGTTTGTAATACAAAGTAGTACTGGGGAGTGTTTCGTGCAAGCTTTGTAGTACAAAGTAATACTTGGACGTACTTTAAAAAGAGGGATGCCATGAGGGAAAGATGCCAAGAAAAAGACATGAGAGTGAAGAATGAAAAACAACCTCAAGACTAGACAGAAGGTCTGAAGGGAAAGCAATTTTAACAGAAAGAGGTTTCAAACAAAAAGGATGTTAAAAAAAAGGATGCAAAAACAAAGGTGTCAAAAAAGAAAAACGTTCCAAGAGAATGGGATGTCGAGAGAAGGAAACGTCAAGAGAAGAAGGTCAGAAAGTCCGAGGATGCCAAAAGATGCCAAAAGATAGGACTGCCAAGAGAAAGATACGTCAACGGAAAGCGGTTCTTTACAAGACATCGGAGTTTTTTGATTCAGCGATGACCTCAGAAAAATTGTCAGGAGAGAAGGGTGTCTCAGGTTTCGGGCTTCGCTGTCAACAGGAAGTCGGAAGGATTGTCAAGATTCAAACATGTCAAGGACAAACCAGATCAAGAGAAAGCGGCATCATCAGAAAAGGATGTCAAGAGAAAGAAATGTCAAAGAGAAGAGTTCCAAGAGCAGACGCAACGGCTGTGACAACCAGGCGATGAAATTCCGGCTAGGCTCTCCCATATTTCCTCCATTTGGTCCAACTTCCATCACCCGGCTGGGACCCGGGCTCTACTGGTATCTGTATTCAAAATACCCAGTGTTAACCCCATCCTCCGCACCTGCAGGGAGGCACAAACGTTCCTGGCCAGGCAGCTGAATCATGTTTAACAAAGTGGGATGTATTTTTTGTTCATCCCGTATCAATGTATAGCACATGTGTATGCATAAATTTAAATATATATATATATAGTCCTTTCCCCTTTTGATAAACACCCATAAACAGCCCCTCTATAAATGGTCCCAAAATGTGTAAATGCCCTGGTTTCTGGGAGGTGTTCAATCAGTTTTCGAACATGGGATTTATGTATTCAAAGTTTTGTTTGCTTATTTTCGCAAACAAACTCTACAAGGAGCTACAAGCACATGCATGGACCAACGAAATATATATATATATATATATATATGCACATATAATATAGATGTGGAAAACATACGAGAACAATATAAAACAATTATATACACTCGTGGTAAAAACCTCCAGTCGCTTCCGTTCCATCAATCTTGAGCCAAGATGCGTATAAAAATATAGAAATGCCATCTGCCAAATATTGAGGCCTGTCCAAACGCACTGCGTGGTTTTGAACCGTTTTTTGGAACAACATGATCATAAGGGGATATTAATGGGAAATCAATTGGGATACTAATGGGATTTAACGATCAGCAATGGAGATAATGGGGATATGAATGGACAATTTAATGGATATTGTAGCTTATAATGAATCAAAGGTGAATTACCCCTCCAGGAACGCTTGAACAAACCGAACATCTTCCCTTGAAAATAGTTGACTTTTCCGATCTTTGCCAAGCAAAGTACCGGGAGTAACTGCCAAGTGCCAGAACCTAGGCCTGCGGTCCGTTACTTTCCGATCGCCGGAGCCGGGGACCCCGGGGACCTCTGAGAATTGTGGTCACCTTCAATCATGACGATGTTCCTCGGAACCAGAGGCGGAAAAAACATGCTGCTGATGAGTTTTTAACATTGTTTAACCACAAGAAAGATCAAGAAACACTGTATCCAAAGCACCGGCCAGCAATAAATCAAAGGACATCCAACACGACGTTTTGACATACACTACCTGCTAAACCTGAAACCTGAGAATTTCTGAGCAAAACTGAATAATTAACTGTTTGCCCTTTGCCCTAGAAATTCTTCGGGCGCCTTAAGAATATGCGTTCAAAACCGTTGACCGAGTTGAAGCCCATTCCGATATGTTCAGACCCATTCAAACCCATTCATAAAAGGCAACAATTCATTTAGCGTAGCCCTACCCCATTCAAACCCGTTCAAAATTCGTTCAGAATGAGTTCGCTGCCTGTTCGCGAATGCAGCAAAATTTTACCTTATGTGCCTCTTGCAAAGTTGCTTAAAGAATAAGCGTTTGGACCTAACTTTTGGCGTGCGTACTAGAAATTAGGCGAAATGAACCGGAATAACTAGTTATTTCAATTTGCACTAAGAATTTCTAGGTTTCATGTTTACCAGGCACTTCTTTTCCTGCGACAAAAGTGTCCTGATGATCTGCTCGGCTCGGCCGTCTGGGCCAACACTTCGGCCATCGTCATCGGGGCCCTTCTGCTCTGTCATACTGGGAACCCCATCAGATTCTTAAGTTCAAACCGGCAAATGAATGCAAATGACCCGAGGTCATTTGAAGGCTACAAAGGGCAACCTGCAAGTAACCAACAAGATTCAGCTGGACCTGCTCCTTTTGCCACCACAAAACAGCGACATGACAAGCGTAGCCAATATCAGCCAATCCCAAGATGTAATGCTCCCAAGGCTCTTGTCTCCAGCATAGGCCTCGTAAATGTCGTGCGTGTGATGTGGGTCAATCAGCTCATCGTTGACCTTGTCAGTCACAGCAGCAAACGCAGAACAGGTACTCGGACTCGATGGCAATGGATTTTTTGACTGGTTACAGGGTTACAGTGGAGATAAATTGATATTGATATAAGCTACTAAGAAGTTATTATATAACTGATGTATACTGATGTTATCTGACTCCATGGCCCAAAAGTATGGGGTCACCTTTGCAATAGTAGAGCCTGTAAGTGTTATGTATCCTGAGTCTCGAACAGAAATCCGGAAAGTAGGCAACTAAATGCAACAAGGCCCTCAAATTGGGGTTTCATAGAGGGGACTGAGGGGACTGTTATCCTCTCCTTATCACCTCCACCGACTCCACGGGCAAAGACAGAGTCAGTCACCCGAGTCAGTCGCCCCAGTGGGGCTGTGGAGGGTGACTGACTCCGACGTGGGGGGTGATTGACTCACTGGGGTCTGACTCTGCTAGTGGGTGACCGATTCCGTCTGGTCTCCCGACTCCACCACCAAATTTGGATCAATTTGAGTCAATCATGGGAGTTTGCCGCAAGTGGGGATGATTGGAGATTAATTAAATATCACCGTTTAGTAGGAGAGCTTCTCATATACTGATCGTATACCAGTGGAACCAAGAACCTATGACATCGTAGGGTCTGAGAAAAAAAACCTGGGTTCGTCATGACTGTGGATGCTAAGTCCTTACATGTCCTTGATCATCCTTACACATTCCAATCACCACACTCTCATTCTTTCATCATTCTCGCAAGTAGCCTGGCTGGACATAAGTGGAAGAGAGAAAGCAGAAATGGCAGGTAATTACTGACAAATCCCCGGTGGTTCCAACAGTAGTAGATACCAGTAGGATCTTGCACCATCTTGCACCAACACATTCAGTTTTATGGTTGTTCATCTTAGGAAACTTCTGCTGGTTCCATTGATGCATCATAACCTTCAGCCAATGTGAAGCAGCTACACTGACGAGTGGAACCATTTTCTGGCGCCATGTCCAGCGAAACCATACAAAATCCACCAATCAGAGCGGAATGACCATTAACATCCACAAAGGCTGCAATGCGTATAAAAATGTTTGGGCATGATGCAAACAGGCCCACAAAACAAAAGAACTCACTATACCCGCACATGCCTGGGCAGTCTCTCTCTGGGTGAGGTCCGGGTTTCGCGGGTGTGCCGAGTTCTCTTCCATCTATATAATTTGATCTCATTTGTATGATTTGGATTGATTTGGGGGGTACCTCCACGACTTAGGAAACCTCCATAATATGGAGGCTCCCACTCCTACGTGAAAAAGCCACAAGTTCTTGAGCTCTTCCCCTTCCTTGGACCCTTGGAGCTCGATCACTTCCCCTGACGGCAAGCTGCCCCAGCAATGAAGAGGGAAGGAATGAAACACGTGTGGACATTCCTCAGCTGAGGCTGGCCCGCCCTGCGGGCCTGAAGGGACTGAAGGGTCAAAGCTGAACAATGGTCATGAGGTGCCCCTGAAAAGCCTGAAAAAGGGAAGGATTAGCAAAAAAAACAATGTCCTCAGTTCCAATAAGACATTCCATTTTGATCCCCAATTTCAGGGCGAACCATGACAACCCCTCTGACAAAGTGTGACTTCGCTCCAGTTGGATCATTGTTTCGGAGCTGCAAAGCTCAATATCTAAGCCGTGACCCCAGCAGATCCCCATCCGTCATGGAGCTCGATAGGCTTAAGCTTGAGGATGTCCATGCCAGTACCTGAACGCACAACTGCTGCTGTTTGAACGAAGATCCTCACTTGTTATGCTTAATTCAGTAGAAATCTGTGGGAAACGATTGTTTTCTGTTGGTTTACGATCAAAACAAGAAAGGGGTCCTGTGTATTTTCCTCTGAACAAATGCTGGGATTTGGGGTCATAGCTTGTGGTACACCCAAAACCATGTGTCTTTGCAGCACAAATGGCATCTTTTGAACAATGTGAAGGTTTCCCAGTCATGATTCATGTTCCAGTTTTGCTTGTGGGGAGGCCACGGATGCAAGGTGCAAGTCTCATATAATTTGATGTAACTTGCGTTCTGGGGCATGCTTGAAGTCATGTAATGTCAAACGTGGATTAATATGATTCATAACATAAAGCCATGCTGAGCAATGGGGAGGCTACCGGCTGCCAATCAAAGTGATAACTTGTTCTTCAGCTGCCCACGAAACACCATTAGACCACGGCCATCCAGGTGTCCCAACTTCCCCACAGCTGTGGGTCCCAGGGCTGAACCAATGTCGAGTTACGCTTTCGAACGGAGCGCCGGACCATGCCCATGGCCGTATTCACCATGAAGCCTAGCTTGCATCTGATGGGCATGCGATCCTCGGGCCAAGGCTCAAAGGCTGTGAGAACACGGGAGATTGAGCAACTTAAAGGGATTCTTGCTTCTGCAATCCCTCTAGTTTGGGGATATGGAGAAAGAATATGTACAGTATTTGCACATTTACATGCAGTTACACTGCTAGTGGAGCGAAAACAGCGAAAGTCAACCATCTGTCTCAAGAGAGATATTCAAGCCTCAGCAAAAAGGTATAGCTTGAAGCGTGCATGCAAGTCTCCGACCTTGCACACATATTGAATAATTGAATCTATATAGATATTTTATATTATGCAATTGAGAGGAGGCAACATGTTGATACATTTTCTACACATGCACTTTCATATCGGCATGAGTAGTGGGCACTCGCGCGCGGGTGTTTCCAAGTGCGTGTGGGCTTCTCACATGAAGCAATGTTCAGTGGATTTAAATTGTGGATACCCTCTGACATACAATAAATGTTGATAAATTGTGGTAAATCATCGAACCACATATAAAAATATAAAAAACATGTTCCCTGGTAGCTGAGGTTAATTTCTTGGTGAAGCCACAAAAATATCACAACCCGCGACCAGCCACAATCAGCTCTCGCACGACCATCTCCAGACTTGCAAATGGACTGTCCAGAATGAGTGCTGCTATGCTGGGATCTCGATGGCCATGCCTAGCAGAGTGATCCCAAGACACCCCCCCATTCCATGGGGGACCCTGAAATACGTCCTGAAATAAGCGTTGTTGGTGGTGAAAATTCGCCCTTTTCATAAACACTTGAGTTATATACATTTTATTAAATCATTAAAACTTATTTCATATTACATTCTATTACATATTGCACGATATTACACACATTTATTACGGTTTGGGTCAAATGGCTGGGGGTTGGTTCCGCCTGAAGGTATGGAGGGTTCCAATGCCAAGCCACTTGCAGCAGTGACCCCATTTCTATTTGCAAACACACAACAATCAAGCGGACATTTTTTGGGCATGTCCTTTTCACGAATATGGTGATGGCCTTGCTGACGGAAAGCAAGATCATGCAAATCAATCCAATGACGTACAGCCCACAGATGCGCATAGTAGTCCAAACCAATGGATAGCAATGAGTCAGGGTGAAATCATGTGAAATCGATCTATACCTACACACTCTCAAACCTGAGGACCTGAACCTTTACGATCCCCCAAACAAAAATGTTGCTCAAACAAAAAGGAAGAAAACATTGCAAGTGTAACTGTCAGAAACAGTTACAATATATAAAAGAGATATAAAATTATACAAAAGTCACTGCCCTATTATGTATTTTCATGGGTCAAATCGACGATAAAACAAAAAAAACACACTCCAATTGCAGAATCGTTTGTATTGGAACGGTTTGATTGATGTTTTATGCTATTTTAGACCATTTCTGGTAAAAGTGGCGATGGTGCCCAGGTGCAACAAAGCAGTGGCTGCACCCATCGAGCGACCCCAAAGAGCTATGGTGGAGACCTGACGCGGCGTCGAAGTCAGCCAGCCAGCGGCGGAGTAAAATATGGTAAAACCATGGTTAACTAAGGGAGAACTGAGGAACATTTATAGAAACCATGGATATATGATATATATATATATGTATATATATATATGCGTGTGTGTGTTTCAATATTTGTGTGTATGGAGGTTTCACTATATGGATGGATTTGTATTATATAAATATAAATATATATATATATAAATACACGTAAACCATGGATTCACCCACCAAAGACGGAGGTTTGCGAGGGGAACATTCCTAATTAGACAATTCTGAGATGGAGTGAAATCATGCCGAAATGGGTAGATGTTCAATGACTTTCAGAGATTAAGAGAACAATTGTTCGTCCCCTTTGTGGCGATCATTTACCTATCGTGGCTTGGAGCAACCCACTTGAAAGGGGGAAGATAAGTACAAAAGGCAGTGAAGTGTCTGAACTCCAAATGATATGGATAAATATATTTAAAAAAAATATATATATATATACATATGTATATATATATACATATGTATAAATATATATATATATATTTTATCGAATATATATATAATTATATATATATAATTATATACATATGGATCATGTGTTGGCTTCCTGCAGATCGTGTTTCTTTTTTCAAGTGCCATCACCTTTGTAGATTTCCTGGATCATCCCCATAGGGATGGCCTTCCCCCCGTTTTTTGCCCGAATATTCCGAGTCCAAATTGGAGGTTTTCTGAGTATGGAACAGTATGAGTCAGTATATTCACATATTTTATATTTTATATAACTAGATCATACCTAAATGATGAAAAATTGAATGGTTCCAACTTTAGTCCCAAAATTGAATGGGCTGGAATTACTCTGGTGCCCCCAAAAGCCGTACAACTGGATGTGCATGCAACTATTATAACCACCCAATTACTACTGTAAGGCCTTCAGGGCTTCTTAACTACAGTTGCACCCATCAACTTCCATGATAAAAAGGTAACAATGGTCCCATCTGTTCACATATCACCAGTTATACCCTGCAGTATTTTTACACCTTGTTACCAGTGCGGAAATATACCTTTTTAAGAGGTAAATGATCTATAATAATGGGCCATCCGCTTTTAAGAAGTAAATCATCGAACTATGGGATTTTTCATCAGCCATGGCTTCCATAGCTATGTTAGTTTTCCAAAGGGAATCTGGCTCACAGTCTACCGAACTCAGATGCCACCGGGACCTCTTCAGTCTGGCGAAGATACTTGATGACCTCCTGCACGTCATCCTGATGGCTTGGCGGTGCTCATATGTACCCAACGATCAATATGTAAAGAAACATGGATATAATAATATAATATATCATACACCGGTAATGAAAATCAAAACACAAATAATGATACTCATAGACTCGTAAACGTGATATTTATACATATCACACTCACATATGTATAGTGATATTTAGTATACGCACATTATACACACATACACACACTCTATGCATCACGATATATGACAACTGTAGAGCCATTGGTTGTCCACCTGGTGTGCCCCCCCACGGCATGCCCCATGACATGGGAGAGAACCCTTTGAAGAAGTTTGATGCTTGGAAACAATTTCCAAGACAGAGTAAACCAAAGATCCAAAATACCCAAAGAAACTACGGACCTACTAGTATAGAATGGGAAGGGAACAACATGGACAAAGTCAACGCAAAGCTGAAAATACACCAATGAATACCAATGACATCCAATGAAATATGTTTCTCGTCACTGGGAAGCACATGATATGGGCTATGGGTCCTGCTGGTCAATGCAGCCGGTCGTATCCAATTACTCTTGCAACCATTGAGTTGGGTGCACTTGATCCGGGGGGCTGTGAAATGTCACCATGAAGACACCGAATGAACATTCTGATGACATCATCTCCAACAACTATCCAAAGGCAATGTGGTTTGCAACTGAACAAACACGATTGAACTTATACAGGTTTGACAGGTCAGGAGTTGTTGCCTACCTTCCAAAACACAAAAGTATCCCATAGTATGGGGTGTTTCCATCTTTTCCACCACAGAGAAAAACATAAGAGACAAGTTCCGCTGGGAAAAAATCAGGGGCTGGTCTGGCATTCCATTTAGGTATGGGGCCAAATTCTGGGCCAGAGAACCGCAAATTTTTGTCACTTGTACTATGAACCATCAATTTTTTTGGGGATATACATAAAATCACTAGTAGTAGCTGTCTGTGTCATCATGTAATTACCCGGAAAAATCGACAAGTTTGGTGGTTAACACGTGACCATCCTGAAAATGAACGGTTTGCAATGGAAAATAACAATGTTTAATGGGTAAATCATGGTAATTCATCCTTTCTATCATCTATTTCAATTTCCATCTGTTTCTATGCGCCATGGCTTCAAATTTGCAATGTCTGTTGGTCATAACCAGAGGGTTAACGTCTCTACCGATGCGAGAACACCAAGCAGCTCTCTCATTATAGCCCAAGGTGATGTGGTCACCTGTCCAGTTAGTAGAAAGGTTTGATCTCGTTAAGAGAATAGCTTGGAATTACTAGTGGATCATAATATAAATGAAAATGACTGGACTTGAGATTCCAATTCTGGTCCTGTAGCGGTTTTACGTCATTATCGGCGAGTGCATAAAATGAGTCCTCTGATATCTGACTTGGATGAAAACCAACAAACACAGAGACATAGTGTTGGCTGAAACTTGTAGAAAACACATTTAAGCCTTAAGAAAAAAAAGGAGCAGTTAACCCCTACGGATCATTTCACACCAATCAATCAACATCGATCAATTACACTCATTCACCAATTTTGGGACAGTGAACCCCTCAGTGAACCCCCTTATAATCATCAACATTCCCGGCCTGGAATGGGAAAAATAAACATGAAACATCCGTGTCACACATCACCAATGAGCATAGTGCAAATACATGTAAATAATTAAATATCCCGGCAAGAGACCCCAAACAGTGTGGGAGAGTGGGAGGATAATGTATGATAATATGGACGGTGCTGATGATGATGGTGATGATGATGATGATGATGATGATCTTGGTGATGATTACTATTCCTTTTATTGTTCATTTTATGAATATTATTCTTATGATTAGTATTACTACTTTATCATTATGATTATTGCTATTCCTGTTACTATTATGATTATTATTATTATACTATGAATTCAAAAAATATTACCATTCGTATTACAATTATTTCTATGTTGATGATTGATGATGTTGATGTTAATGACTGTGATGATGACGATGTTGAGATCGCTGCTGTTGTTGTTGATGATGATGGTGATGAGAATTACGTTGATGATGATGGTAATGATGATGATGGTGATGATGCTAATGATGATGATCAAATGATGATGATGATGATGGTGATGATGGTGATGATGATGATGATGATGCTGGTGATGATGATGATGGTGGTGGTGATGATGATAATGATGACGATGATGATGATGGTGATGAGGATGAGGATGGGAATGATAATGCGGAAAAAGAAATAGAGGATGGCAAGGTGAAGGATGATGATGTAGAGACGGAGAAAGATGACGATGTAGAGGAGGATACATGATGATGATGATGATGATGATGATGATGATGATGATTGTGATAATAATAATGTTGAAAAATGTCGCGGCCCAGATTGGGCCCAGAACGAGGACACACACTTTGTTCGGGCCTGCGCAGTCCAAACGCATGTCAAGATTTCTTCAAGAGCCACTTTATGCACAGGTAAAATGCCGCAGACCAAAACCGCGCCGCAGACTTTGTGCGAGCCTGCGCAGTCGAAGCGCACGTCAAAATTTCACAAGAGCCACTTCACACACGGAAATTTACAGGACAAATGCCGCGGCCCAGATGGGGCCCAGAACGCGGAGACACACACTTTGTGCGAGCCTGCGCAGTCGAAACGCATGTCAAGATTTCACAAGAGCCACTTTATACAGAAATTTAGAGGTAAAATGCCGCAGACCAGAGTGAGCACCCTGATCAAGCACCGGCCTTTACTACCACCCTCAGTGTGGAAACAGCTATATATGTTTCAAAAAAATTAAAAAAGGAAGCATGGCCACACACTTATGTCACTGTTTCATTTCAAGTTTAAATCTAGAACTGATATGAATTGATTGGGTTAGTTGATAGGTCATCTGCATTGTGGAACGTCATAATACCCCACAGTAATCTGCAGTCCCACTTGAATCACTTAACGTGTTAGCACAATGCTAGCTCATGCCCAGTACCACACATTGGTTTTTGAAGCCATCTCCACTCGAGGCATTGGGGTCATGAATCATGGGTCATCATTCATCCACAGGCCCCGAATTGAAGGAACCATAGTTTCTTAGGTACCAGTTTATTACGTTGGTCCGCGAATCGGGGACGAGATCACCAGGATGATGTGGTGGCTGCTGATGATCATAGATGATCCTTCAAGTGGATAATGCGTTCATGGATTCTGACTACAGCAATCCCCTAACACATAGAAAAGTAAATTCCTCCATAGTCATACTTTATGCGCATTTACGGTTATATTGATGTTCTTGGGTATACCTCATTACCTCATTCATGTTGTACACCGATTGGTGCCATGGCTGTAAACAATAGACAAATTTCCCAACATTGTTCCATAACAGGTCACTGGTGCGGTTAGTAGCAGTTTAAAGAAAAAACACATGACCGTTTTTTTTCCTCCACATATGCTCCAAGAAAACAAATCCGTTCTTGTATCTACACCTATCTTCCACAATCTTCCACAAAGCTTTACGGCACCTTTCTTTCCTGGCAATACTTTTTTGGGGGCCTTGCAGATTTTCGGTTCCCCACTGATTGTTTGGTGGGGGCCGTTGCGCTAATCAATGGCCAACATGACTAACATTGATGTCAAACAACAATCCCAAGAAAACCAAACACGTATGTTTTTATAAACCTATGAATGTGGTAAAACCAATCATGAACTATCCCATATTTCAAGGGCAATGCAGTACCCAATTTCAACAACCCCTGTTGGGTTTAATAGGGCTTAAGCCTGGTTTAACCCTGTCTCCTAACTGGATTATCCCATGGTAAAACTGTGCCCTCCAAAGGGACCTGAATATCCCATGAAATTATTACCACTCATGAACCTTTATGATTGCTTATGATTGTTTAGTTACTAACCAGCCACTAACGCCCATTCTTATCCAACTATTATCCTATACTAATCCATTTAACATATAGCATATTATAAGGCTACGCTCTGGTTATTTAACATAGCCATGGAAGCACGCAACCCACTTATGGATCATAAATATGATGTTTCGATATGTTTTGTTACCTGCTAATAGCATGGTGGTTTTCCAGTTCGCTATGTTAAATGAAAAAGCTTTCGCGACAAAGGGACCGCAAATATACTCAGATTGACATATAGATTGACTATAGGTGGTTTTAGCTTTCCGAACTTGCTACTTTATATAACCAAATGGTGTAATTATGACTAAAGGACCATTAAGGGATTGATCCCCATGGTACATGTGGTACTAAGGTTTACCGATTAATTAAGCTTAAATGGTAATTCCCATGGACCACCACCATGCGCGTGTCGATGGCCTTCAGATTGACCGCAGCCAGCGAAATCAAAGGCGAAGACCGTGATGCCCCGCATCAGCACCTGTCGCGCCGGCATATGGAGGTTACGTTGTTGTTTTTTCTCCAACCAAGAGAAACGGTTGAAGAACGGACAAGAAAAGATGATCGCACTAAGAAACATATGTGGACTTAACCAAAACAACTGATTTAACCTTTCAAACATGGTGATCTAACCATTGAAAAACGGTGACTTAACAATCAATCATGATCATATGAACTATTAAAAATAATAACCAAACCATCAAATGAAACATTGTAATTTAACTTCAACCAACAATACATTTTGGTGTTTTTTTCACAATAGATGGTTAGAGTACTATAAATCTGACACTGAGTGGCTTGGTGTAAGAAAACGATCAATGCCGATGCCCTTTTTGGGATCAACGATTCACTTTTTGTGGTGTATTGTATTGGGTATACCAGGGGCCCCAGCTATAAATTCGTCTATAGGGCCTACTTTCTATATATAATATAGCTGCCATACATCCTTAGCTAATGACCTGGCACACCACTCAGGATTCAATACATCCCTTTTATGGCTGCTCTATTGGATGAGGTCATTCTGGATGCCCCCATTTGCCCATCACCATAGGATACCCTCCAGAAAACCAACGTAGCTGTGGAACTTGAACCATTTATAGATGATTTACCCAAACATGGTGCTTTTACATAGTTGTGGCTATGTCAAAGAAGCAAAGGGTATAGTTCATCACTTCTGCATGATAATCCCATTATTATCCCTATCCTATCCCTATAAATACAATAAAATCACCATTAAATCACCATAACATGCCCCAAGAGTGCTGGTTTACCATAGGATACCAGGTCGACCAAAGGATCCAAAGGTACCAGGCGGACGTGCTGAAGTGCTTCGAGTCTGCACGAGGAGTTTCCGTGCAAACACACCTGGCGGGGAAAATCATCCAGAAATGATGGGCGTTACCTCGGGGTGGAGTTAATCTCCTGAAGAAATACATTCGAGTAAGTAGGGTTACCTGCCACGTATACGCTTAGAGTGAAACCATACATACACTTCTTTTTGAATCTGTTTGATCCTCTTTTTTTGTACCATGGTGAGACATAAAAACACGGATCCACCGTGATAGTGTTGAGATGTGTTGAGTAATTCCCCTATCATCCTGATCAAAGATTGGGAAACATTAGGCACAAATACACCTATGTCAAACGGCAATTCAATGATCCAAAACTCGGAGCATATGATGGTCTTTCGACTCCTCCCGAACAATAGTGACCCAATAATGCAATACGTATAATATCTGGGACAAATAAAAAAAAAAACTGAAAAAAGGTGATTTTGGGATACTTTGGGATGATTCCCTATGCAAGCCATCGTTCCTTTGGGCTTCGAACAGTTTTTGGTCGTTGTTTTCCAATCCGCTGCCAAGCTGCGACACAGGGCCAAGCACTTTGGCCCATGAGCTGCGGGTTCTTGGGCTTCCACCAACTGCATTCCAGGGACAAACCTGCCATCTGTGACCGCTTGAACCGGTTGAACCGGTGGAAGATCTAGAAAAATGCTGAAGAAATGCTGAAGAAGTGCGAAATGCTGTGCAGAATCTGGGGGCATCTGGGAACTTTGTCCTTGTTGAGTTGCAAGTGGCGTTCGCAGGCTACCAGGTAGCATGTGTTGTGGTGGAATCATTTTTGAGATGTAGTGACGAGGCTCTTGGCATTGACTCAAGCGGGCAAAAAACTATGATGGCACCCTCAAAAGAACCTCGCGGTGTGATATGAATATGATATTGAAAGTGATTCAGAGAGTCTGAGAAGTGCAGACTGAGATTTTCCGCTGGCAAGTATACACGTGCACAAAACTGAACATGCTCTATCTTATGTATATATATATATATATGCATCATATCGGCACGTGCTTGCCTGCATCCTCACTTTCTTGCATTACAATTGCCATATGCATTATTTGTCATATGTCCACATTTACAGTTCTCTGAACACACTGGCCCTTACATAAAAAAAAAAGACAATTCTACGGTTCCCGAGGTTGGCCAAGTCGAATTTACGTTTCTTGCTGTGCGTTTCTTGCTTTGATCCGCCATGGACATTGGTTTGGCAATGGCACCAGTGAGACGGTAGGCCTGGCTTGTTCGCCGTAAAGACATGGGGACGACATTGAAATACCATGGGCCCGGGAAAAAGGGGAATCAACATTGAAAAACAAGAAGAGTGTCATGAAACTGCAGATTATGGTGGGTTGGTTCTCAAGTGTAAACAAAAAGCTGACAATTCTGGAACCGTTATAATGGTATAACTTCCAAGATTGGCGAAGCATGGTAAAAACTTACAAAGATGTGAGTTTTGCCCGTGAGTTTTGCCCACCATAGTGCGAATGGACTATGTGGTGTAATTGTAAGTGATTTAAGTGCAACCAAAAGGTGATTGCGTTGACTCTAGGTTCATTCCAAGTCACATTCACGTATGTCTTGCATACATAAATGCCCCGCCAGCCCGGAAACCGTACGCGGAGTTATGCGGATTCTCAATTCATCTTCATTTGTCCATATGATTGAAATGTATTGAACTATTGTGTTTTCAAGATCATGAATTCTGAGTTTTAGTGTGAATTCCATTGCGTGCTATGAACATGTGCAAATTTCCTCCATGTCAAGAACATTTTGCATGTTTATAGCCTTTGATGGCTCGGAAAAATAGACAATGCGCATTTTACCTCTGTCTTTGGGAGTTAAATTCATATGACCGCAACGTTTCCAAACATCTTGCTCCTCGCACTTGTTGGCTTCGCCTGTGCACAGTTGCTTCACAGCTCTTGCCGCGATCTTCCATCAAGGCCAAGTTGTAAGTTAGCACCCCCCCCTGAACCCCACCCCGAACCCCCAAGGCAGAAGAAAAACAGCAAAACGCGAGCGGTTTCTCAGCCGCAGAAAAACATGTTGTGTACCATCACGGGTTTGTTGCTTCAATCTATCCCCACACACACAAAAAAAAAACACCAGTCAATCGTGATCATCATCTTGAATTTTAGGAACACTCAAAGGTGAATTCACCCCTGGGCCCAAACCAGTTGTTGCTTGGCCCACACAACACGGCAAAACCTAGCACTGTTTGTTGCTCGTTCATTGAAAACCGTTTTGATGTTGAAAATCAACTATAGATCAGATCTTTTTTTGGGGGTTAGATCCCATGAACTTGCTATGTTTATATACACTAGTGGGTAAAACATCACTCGTTGCGTCAACCGGCGCAGCGGCCTTTGCAATTTTGCACTTGCAGGTCGCTGCGCATGAACTCGTGGCCGCCGAAGAGGAAACGCTTGGGTCCTGGGATCTCATGGGATCTCATCAACAAACATGGTGAATTTATATGTTTTTTTAATATCAATTTAGATGAACGGAGTGGCTTGAAACAAGGATGAACATTAACAGATACGTATATTAACGTTAATGTTGACACATATTAACATATCTCGACATTTATCAACATATTAATATAATATAGTATAACATACATTAACATATATGGAAAGGGATAAACCCTTCCGTAATCTAACATTTTTTTGAATGGATGCTACCTCACAGGTCTCAAAGCCAATGCATACCATGGGAGCCTTGGCACATTTGGTTCCATAATCCACATATGATTTCTACGTATAGCAAGCTGTTAGATTTTCAAACGGCACGGATTTGAGGGGATTTACTTGATGATGATCGTCAGTTTTTGTTCCCCTATATATTGGAACTCAAAAAATGAATCTCAGCATAATATATAAGAACTGGACATTGAAACGGGCTTCAACATGTGGTTCAATCAACAAATTATTGAAATATGATGGCGTGCTGTGCTCACAACTCCAAATATCAACTGTGATTAAGCCAACAAACATGGTGAATTAACCAACAAAATTGGAAGTTGATTGCCAGAAACATAACGAAGAAGTCTTTCGAGCCCGTGGTCATCATGACAACTCCATGGTGACGAGGGCTATCTGGTTTTCATGGACGGAAGAACTTTACCAAACAAACAAACCGGACTTCAAGGTTGAACAGTCCTTCCCTTACTGGTGCTTAGTAGGGAATGGATGGGAATGGGGGAATGGGATGATTATTACTAGTGATTATGGATCATTCCCTCATTCCCTACTAAGCACATGTAAGATCATGTCAACCCCGGATGAGAAAAACCTGAGAAAAACCTGTGGGATCTTTGTCCACTGATGCCTGGTCCCTAGTGAATCAAACACTCTCTCTCTCTCTCTTCATTCATCGCCTTTTCAAGGACTAACACTGTTTACTGTAATTGTCCGTTGACATTATCATTCATCACTTCTTATCAATCATTGTTACAAATTACATCCAACTACTAAGTTCTAATCCCATCACCCTAATATTCAACACCCCAATTAAAAGGTCCCAATGGTTGTGGAAATTCCCAACAAAAAACCATGGCTTCGTTTCGGGTGTCATGGTGTCATGGCTCGTCCAAGAGACCCAAATTTGAGTCGCGGTATTCAGCGCGCGGCGGGCGAATGATGGCATTCCTGTGCACAGCGCAGCAGCCGAAACGATGCGAAACGACCCGCAGGATGATCCGGTAGAGAAAGCCCAGTTGGACGTTGGTTATGTACCCACGATAGTCACTATTTTAATGGGGGTTATATGGGGGTTTAATGGGATTAGTCACTATATAATGGATTAATGGTGATTAATGGATGATTAATGGATGATTAATGGATGATTAATGCTTATTACCCTCTGGTAATTTGTTACATAGCTATTGAACATATCCCATATATCGTTGATTTACCTATGAAAAAATGTGTTTTCCCACAGTTTTTGGTATGTTTACCAGAGGGTTTTGTGTTGATACAATAAATCAATATAAATCATTGATAATGACTCAGCAATCAATAATTAATGATTTTGAATGAATTTTCAGAGCATATAAGGATGTAAACCATTGAATCCATGAGTGAACATCAAACAATCATTAAATTGCTAATTACGCCGGCATCCCCCCATGTTCAAACCCACTCAAACAAAGCCATATTCAACACCTCCAATTTTGGGACTAGACATGAATGAATCCAAAGGAATTGGTAAACGGCATTTGTGAACCACTTTGGGTTCTGTCGGCATAGAACTTATTGATGAACCACTTGCTCATCATGTGAAATCAATACGTCCCCTCCACTTTGCATATCTTTGCATCATAGTTAAGTTTCTGAAGCAGAATGGTTTACCATGTTTACTGGCGAGTCAAAGTCGTAAATGCACGCAACCTCCAACAGTATGAAAAATATAATTTGCCATTGCTTTAGTAAAATTATAACTGGTTGGTGGTGTCAACCCCTCTGAAAAATATGAAAGTCAATTGGGATGATTATTCCCAATATATGGAAAATCATAAAATTCATGTTCCACACCACCAACCAGTTACTATATCATTGGTATCATCGCTAAACCAAACCAGGGATCACCACACTGTCATAGGTGCTTCGAAAGGGCCACCAAGATCCTGAAGCAGATGTCAGGATGCAACTGCGGACGTCAGTATTGGCCAGTTGTTTCTGATCATTCTTTTGGAGGGGCTGGAGATGGGAAAAAATCAGCTTGGCAAAAGTGAATGGAATCAAAAGGTTTGCAGCTATGCCTATCCGACATAGGTCTAGTTGATGACCTGGCATGGTGACAAATGACTAGGCTAGTGCGGCCATCTATATACTGTCAATATCACTTCTCACTGAGTTTGAAGAACAATTGGCTGGAAGCCGTGTTTTTCCTCAAAGATACGGATTTACAACAACTCCAGTCGTCCTCAATGTAAGTTACCCAGATTCGCGTTCCCAACTTCCATCTTGATGGTCCAGTCCCGCGCTCCAGTCCCAGCTGGGGACAAGTTACGTCGAGTTTTCTTGCGACTTTGCGCCTTAGTCTGCGACATTTCGCCATGGCGATAGCACCAAGATTTCCACCGAAGATTTCCATGACTTCAGGACAACCCATCCAAGCAAAACACGATCGCATTTACACAAAGTCACACAGTTTGATGATTTTGATATATAATGGTGAGACTGTGACAAACTTTGGGTCGAAATGCGGTGAATTCAAGGGATCGATCCGTCAATCCATGTATACATATCTCTTCTCTTGCTATCTGCCCATCTATATTGCATTTATCTTTCTATGTATCTATGTATCTATGTATCTATGTATGCTATCTATCTATCTATCGATCTATCTATCTATCGGTCTATCTATTTATCTATCTATCTCTCGATCGATCTATCGGTCCATTTATTTATCTATCTATCTATCTATCGATCTATCTATCTATCGATCTATCTTTCTATCAATCTATTTATCTATCTATCTATTTCTCTATCTATCTATCGATCGATCTATCGATCTATCTGTTTATCTATCTATCTATTGATCGATCGATAGATCTATCGATCGTTCGATCGATCGATCTATCTATATATCGATTGATCTATCTATTTATCGACTGATCGATCGTTCTATCTATCTATCTATCGATCGATCTATCTATCTATCTATCTATCTATCGATCGATATATCGATCTATCACAATTTATCTATCTATCGATCCATCTATTTATCGATCCATCTATCTATCTATCTATCTAGCTATCTATCTCTCTTATCTCATCTCATCTCATCTCATCTCATCTCATCTATCTATCTATCTATCTATCTATCGTATCCATCGAATCTATCGAATCTATCTAATCTATCTAATCTTTCTAATCTATCTTATCTATCTAATCAATCTAATCTGTCTAATCTATCTAATCGATCTAATCGATCTAATCGACCTAATCGATCTAATCGATCTATATAATCGATCTATATAATCGATCTAATCGATCTAATCTATCTAATCGATCTAATCAATCAATCAATCTAATCTTATCTAATCTAATCTAATCTACTGTAATCTAATCTAACCATCTATCTATTTATCTATCTATCCATCTATCTATCCATCTGTCTGTCTGCCTGTCTGCTTACCTGTTGGTCTGCTTAAACAAGAGTAGCTTTACAACTGTACGGATTCATCTTTTCATCATGAGAACAACTATCGAGCTGTGGATGCCCAAACCCTGCATACTGGACTATGATGATCCCTCAAGCGAGAAAAACACACAGTCCCCCCATACCTCCCAGTATCCAGGAGCTGTAGTACAGCAGTTGCAAGTTATGTAGTGCCCGTAGGCGAACCATTTGGAGTACAAGAGTGACACATCCAGTGTCGGTTGCGCGCACATCATGGCAATGGCTAGTATTGGATGCATGCTTAAAAAATGTGTCAAATCGTACTGTCAGCACTTGTGATCTGCACACTGCATATTCAAATTGATCATACAAATATATCCACAAAATGAAAATGCAACATATAATACCATGGCTTTTTGCCACCAAAAAACACATACACGTGTATATATATATATATAAATGGGTTTATATTCAGGAAACGGCAAGACTAAACATGATGCAAATATACTGTATGTGCGTCAATTGCAAACAAAAAATGAATATGTATAATTTTGTAGAATATTATATATATATATACATGATGCGGCCGCCCAGGTCCCCCCCCCTCCCCCCCCAATGGGTATGGGTATACAGGAGCTATGTTCCCCGCCCCCCCCCTGTGGGTGGGTAGGGGGTGGGGGGGTTAGACTCGAAAAATAGAGGAACTAAAGTGACAAAGAAGTACTGTTTCCGCAAATGTCTGTTTTCCTCTGTCCGCTTGTGACGAAGTCTTGTGTTTACCTAGGTCGAGCTCTAGAGCCAGAACAGTTACATGGACAACAATGTACCTGAGGCATGGTAGATCATGTACCTTTCAAGTCGGGTGTTCTCCTGTAAGTTGGTAAGATGTTGTAACTGGCTCGAGCTCAAACTTCAGTATCTGTGCTTGCCAGAGGACGTGTCCCTCTGGTCTTCATGAATTCAGCGGGGTGTAGTCTTCGTACATACCCCTTCATTGCACTAATTAGTTGCGACCGATCGATGGAACCTTTGGTCATTCCATCGGCTATCATGTCGCGTGTGTCGACCCAACCTAAAATGCGAATGATCTTCGAGGTGGTCAACTGCTTAATCCATGAGATATGAGAGAGTAGTGACTTTTCCGTTGGGTATTTGAAATTTTCATTTTCCACCGCACTGAAAACGGACCTGGCGTCTATCCAGACATAGAGTTCGATAAGGTAACCACCATTTTCTCTTAAATTTATACTGGATTGGGGGCTAAGAGGTCCGAAACATATTTCATGAAGGGTAGTTATGATTATAAAACTTTGATCAACGGATGCTGTGAGTGCCAACAGCTCAGCGGCGAATGTGCTGCGCACCACGAGCTTATGAGATTGAGAAACGGCCTCAATCAAATGGCATCTCTTTACTCCTCTCACATCAGTGCCCATTCGAAGGTATATTGCACCTCTCAAAGCGTATCCCTTGTCATTTTCTCTGGAGAATGCTGAATCAGAATATAGCTCAACAACCCTGCTACAAGTCATTGAGCTATACTCTAATTTCTGGGGACGACGTTGAAGCTCTCGGGTGAGTGCATTCAGTCTTTTGACATGTGTAACAGTGGGGTTCTGAGTTACACGTTGGAGGGAAATTATGTAGACTAAGACCCACGCCTGTGTTAGGGCGGAATAGGCAACGGCTCCTAACAAGCTCCAATACAGCGCTCTGAGGTGCTCGGGGCATTGTGCGTCCTTCTGGAGATTGGCATAGTGCTTTGGGTTTATAGGTTTTAATGCACTAAGGTATTCTGTCTGGTCAAGAGTGATGGTACCATCTGGGAGTCTTTTATGACATATACCACAGTTTGTAAATTCACTTTCTTGATAAGTCAATTTCCCAAAGTGCCTTTCCAGGGTTTTAACCAAAGAATCTATTTCTGATTTCATACCTGCCATTTTAATATCATCTACATGAACGGTTATGGCTAAGACTAGGGTTTCTTTCTTATGTAACATTAACAATTGGGGGTCATACAAAGATGCTCGGAACCCTAATTCCTTGAGGATGTTGATTAGCCTCAAGTTGAATGCTCTGGGAGCGTCTCTACAGCCAGTGCCAGGCTTCAAGCATTTGAGAGCTTCCGTTCGCTCATCAAAATCCTCATATCCTGGGATCCGTCTGAGATGTTTGGCTGTTCCTGCCGGGACGGTAAAGCTTATGTGTTTCTCGGGCTCTCCAGTCAACTTGTTCATCTCGGAAAAGGTAAGCCCTTGAAGAAATGCTTTACTTATGTCCACAGCGACAAAACTCCAATCTTTGTGGCAGGCTGCTTCACTGGCTAGAATCTTTTGGGATGTTCTTTGCGCAGTGGCCGAGAAGTTCACCTCATCTTCGGTTTGCGGTTCCTTGAACCCTCGCAAGGCCAACCGCATCCTGATGATGCGCTTCCCGTCTACATACTTCCACTTAGAAACTAGCTTGGCGTCGATCAGAACTTTACACTTCTTTTTGGGGATTCGTTCAAAACAACCATATTTATGCCAGGTTTCATACTCCTTAACCGTTGCTTCATCAACTTCCTTGCGATGGTCAATTAATTCCTTAGTTGTGAGCAAGTCAGTATCTCTCTCAATGACTTCTTTCTTAGCTTCTGCATTAAGGAATACTTTCATCAAATTGGGTTTAGACACATCGCGACTGTCTTGGAAGCATTCAGTGATGTTTTCTGAGATCAACACTTCAAGGAATGGTTCATCATTTTCATCAAACTCAAAAGTGTGATCATACTCATCGAAATCTGGATTAACTGTTGGTGGTATTGAATCCCAATCATTATGGTTGTCTGGACTTGTAAAATAACACCAATCATCTTTACTCTCCACATCTGATACTTCATTTACTGCTTCGTTGAGAACTACCCAGCACAGCTCCTTGAGATCACTTTGGATTTCTTTGGGAGCACCTTCGAAGTGTTGCAAGTACAATGCTTCAACCTCTGGAGAGTCAATGCTAACTTGAGATTCCTCGGCGATCGTACTGAGCCGCCCATCACTACGACCCACCTCGATCTCTCGATCGAGATGCGCCATAGCCGACGGACGGTCCAGCACTTTCTCCTCAAAATCATCAAGTGTCATTCCGACATCTCTGTCTAGCATAAAACACTGCATTGTTGCGACGAAGGACTCCTGTGGACCAAAGATTTTGTTGATGTTTTGTCTCGGGTGATCAGCAACATGTATGAGCATTGCATCTGGGTTGTTCATGTTCCAATTGAAAATCCCATTGCGGTATCTGTCGTCCAGATCTTGCAGCTGTTTGATTTTATGTCCAATTCTTACAGTGCAGATATCATCCATCTGGAGGGAATTTGTTATGATGAACTCTAGTGCTTTTGAAATTTTGGGCCATCGCTTGGTGGTTCTTGTCAGTCTGTCATTTACATACCCAAAAACTTCAACACGGCCATCAGGGAGTTCATTCAAAAATTGATGGATGTATCCCATGGCATTCAAACAGATATCCGCATTGGTGTGTCCATAAAGAGAAACTGTTGCATAGTATTGTGCTGGGCGTACATCTTGGAGGCGATATGGTCTGGTCTGTCCATTTATTTTAAGAGCTACAATGCCATCTGCGGCTACACACTCTACGACTTCATATGGACCGGTCCAGCCACTCATGTCTTTGCTCGGGGGCGTTCGGTATAACTCTACCAAGTCTCCTTTTGCAAAACGGTTTTCTCCCGACAAGGCAGTTTTGGACCCCAAAGCTCTTTTGATACGAGATGCACTCGTGGCTGACACCATAGACTGCAATGCAAGTTCGCGGATGCGGGCATCAACTCTCTCTTCCAAGCCGGCGTTGTCTGTGATTGGCGGAAGGCAAGCTGGTTGTCTTCCCATCACTACCTGGTAGGGT